GCAGAATATACGAATTTTATTTCCAATATTTTACTACTTAAATTTATTCGTTTGGCATGAACATAGGCAATATTATTTAAGCCTATTGTATAATATCTATCTTTTTATCTTTCATTGGCCGCACTGAAAAGCAATATTTTTCTAGGAAATATACCTACTAAAGTCCAGGACTTCCTCGATCTTATTTATAGAGGACTAAATATAAAGTTCCTCATCAAAACAATGTGTTACGACTCTGTAAATCAATCTATAACTGAAAATAGGTATTCCTAATAATAAATCACTTTCTATCTGTACACATCCATATCTGCTATAAATAACAATTATTTATTATTTAAATTAACGTATAAATATATTATATAAATTAACTTATATATATTGATTGCAGTTTGGTAATTCCAATGGGGCTATAGATAAATGGAAAATGTAATGAGAAAAACAAACAAAGCCTTAAAACCCATTATCAAAAGAAACTGCTTCCTTTTAGTCTGTTTTTTTTCCAATCGCCGATGTTGTGACTAAATCCTCCGCGCGGCATAAAACTGCTCTCCGAGCAGAAATAAAATTAAATTGCGGCTGTTTAAAAATCCCTACAAAGCTGGCGAACGAGAAAATATGTAGGTAGCTACTTAAAAATTTTCGGGGAAAAAATATTAAATTTAAAAACCGTAAGTAAACACAATTAACCGAGGCAGGCGGGCAATTATTTTCATAATAACCATTCAAAATAGATGTTGAATAAAAGAGCTACAACATTATAAATGTAACGAATACATTTTGCTTCACAAATATCAGACCTTTGTTACTAACCCTGCACGATAATAATATCAACCCTGGACAACTCAGACGGTACCAGCTAGTCTCAAGGTACAGCTTGTGTTATGGGTAGATATACTACACAAGTAAAAAAATGTAGTATTTCTTTTTTATTTTGTTTTATTAGTTGCACCTATATGTATATACAACATATAAGATATAATATTACATATAATTCCAATTTCTATAAATGCCAATGGGTTAACCATTTTATAATCACGAATAGGAAAGTAATAACCAATAGATATATCAAATAATCCACAAAAAATATGTTATTTGAAATTTTTATTATAAAATGACACTTAATACTTTCAGATTATTAAGTGTAATTGACACTGTAAATTGGTATAAAAAATTCACACAAGTCGACCTTACAGTCTCGTGGTGATGAATAGATACATTATGGAACTTATTTTTCATATCAGTAGTACAAAGTAATATATTTACACGCTTTAAATAAATATATAGATAAGTAGGTATAATCTTACAAAATTCATTATTTTCCCCAATCCTTATTTTTACTTCGTCCAAGAAACCGTATTCGACAACAATCTAAGATTCAAGCAGGCTGTCAAATAAACAATACAAGTTCGGAATTAGGAAACTCGATCCCAGTCGAGCTTTGTCCTGTATCCAATATCTGTCCGAACCATAGTTGCTTCGTTATGTCTATTTGGCACACTTAAAATAAATATACGTTTATTGTTAGATACTATATTATTCCGAGCTGGTGAATAATTATTGAGAACTGCTTTTATGTGGCTTCACACTTAAACGAGGCATAAATCGTTATCTTTCGTTGCTATTTTAAAAACCTTGTATTAATGCGATTTATCTTTAGACTTGATTGTTGTTCACCAGTGTCTAATTAAAGAATATGCATATGTCTACCTATTGTACAATCTTGTAGTATTATCATAAGAATTTATTTTTGTAATATTGTAATACAGTAGTTGTCACGATATTATAGATACTCTACCCTATCTATATAATATAGGAATAATTATTACTAATATACCCAGTTCATTCTACCTCTTTTGACTGACTATACTAAAATCGTTTTGTTTGATTGTATATTATATAGACTAAAATTATTTGGCAAAACCAATATATCTAAAAGACAAAAAATAAATATCTATTTTGTAACAATTAGGATAGGGATAAAAGCATCGGATAATATTAATATTATAACAAAGTATGTAGATTACATACAAAATATATAGGTATATACCGAGTGATATACCATTTGTCTGTGAAAAAGAGAAATTAATGAGTAAGTAAATTAAGCAAAACAACTGACAAAAGGTAAGTAAATACGTAATTAAAATCCTACTCTCCATCTTTAAAGATCACTTAATCCAAAAGGTCAGCAGAATTTTATCAATAATTTTATTAATTACCTTGATGTGATTGTACGCAAAATGAGACTTGCGCCAAATTCATCATTGCCTTGCCTTTATCTTATTAATTGGAGTTGAGGCTATATATTTTCGTGCTCTTATAGTCGGCAGTCTTTTATATTACAATAGCGATCCACCCTTGCTTCGCACAGGTACCTTACAAAACTTTAAATTTCTAGGCTTATTTGTACTCTAATATACATGTATTATAAATATAAACCTCTCTCTTGAATCCCTCTTTCTATTAATGAAAACTAAATTAAAGTCTGGTATTTAAGCGTAAAGATGGCGTTGGCGACTTTGTTTTATATTACAGGTATGTTAAGAGTTACTAGACACTCATAACCGTTTCTGTTATTTAGCGGTTTCTCATACTGCCTTACATCCGATGGTCATTGACGATATAATAGTGATTGTAACATTTGTTGTATTCATGAGTATTATTTTTATTGCTCTAGTTATTGGTAAATATGTTTCATACATTTCTATTATTTTTGTAATATCCATACACTAGCTTTGCTTAGTTCGAGGTTGACGGCGCTGTACGTTTAATACATAACCTTTAGACTGCATGTTTTGAAAAAGTCGAAGTACTCAAAAAGTACATTTAGTATGTACTCATAAGTATACGAATATAAATAAGTATGGGACATGCACCACTGACTGAACAATATTTAACAATTTAATTTAACGTTTAAACAAGGCAATTATCAACAAATTATCTCTTGTATAAATAGAACTGATAGAGATATATAAAAATGGACATTATTATAGACATAGTTTTTCTGGATCCATCTACTCTTGTCAGAAGGAAATTAGATTTTTTATTAGCATCGATTTCTTTTGTGTTCGGGCACATGAAAGCGCCGGTAGGTGGGACATTTTGTTCCCCCATCTCTCATTATCACTGGAATTTCCAATTGATTGAAGACAAGCCGAAAGGAAAAATGCAATTTAAAGAAATCGAAGTAAGCTTTACAGAGAAATTGAATTTTCTGTAGACCTTTAACACAAGTCAAGTCAAAGCCACTGATAACAATCTTTCCCCAAAATGACTGACCGCTGATTATTCGACCGAATAAAATTGATCTTAACAAAGATTTCTTTGAATACATAAGCACGGTGGCTGAACCAACTGAAATAGGTCGAGTGTAATGAAACGTTATCGATTTTGTATTTAGGTATTCTACTTACGTTTTCTGAAATTTGCGACTATTATTTAATAATGGTACGTTTCTTATCTCAGTAACTTGAAAACTTCCATCTTCCTACTATATTTATGCAGACGATCTCAAAATTTACACTCAGTGCTTCCTGGTAGATACAACTCAAACCATATCCATTGATAATGATGATTTTAGCCGTATATAAGTAAGGTATATGAGTAAGGCCGTAAGCCTTGTTGTGAAACCCTCGAAAACAAAAAGATAAAAAACCATTATTATAGGTATCCCCAAATATATTCCTTAAATCTCTGCTTGAAATGACCTTCCGCCTGTAGTCTTCGATAGGGGTCTTATTATTAAAACTTGGTATTGTATTTGATTGTACTTTGTGTAGTATCATCAAGTCGGTGAGGTTTGTAAGAAAGTGTTTTTAACTCAAGGTTCCTTTTTATTGCTTATTTAAATAAATAAAGTAATTAATAAAACTTACAATACCTGAAATAGCTTCTGATATTCTCATTAATATCTACCAACGTAATCATTACTACTTTATGTTTCGGACCACTCGGTTTTGAGTTCCTTATAACAAATAGTACAGAATAAGATGTACAAAAATAATGTTACTGTATGGTATAATATAAAGTAATCAAGATCGCCTAACAATGAAGAAAAGTATGCCTATAAGTTGTCTAGTACCAATAGTGAAAGCTTGCTTATTTTGACGTTGTGTTATATCTGTTATAATTTTTACTACTATTTATTTGTTATTCTACTACTTTACAGATGCAGCCTACCGTTTTAGGGTAGATAGGCAAAATTACTTTACAGTGATAGGCTCATAGACATTTTTTTATAGCTAGAAACATAGCTATCAATATTATTTAGTATGGAATTCCTTGATGGGTACAAATAAGTAAACTTGTAAGCAAAACACATTCATTTTACTGTCTACGATCATTTTAAGTTTAACATTTATAGCAATAACCGCATCCCACCTTCAAGAAAAGCACTTTTGTTTGAGTACCATCGAATTCGAACATCCACACACATTCGCTCTTTTGCTCCGTCATTGGAAATCCAATTGCTCAACGTTTCTACAAGTGTCATTGAAGCAAGTGCTGCTTTTAAGTATGTATTCAGTATTTTTGTCATATCTCACACCATATACATTCGTAGCTACCATGGGTACCTACCATATCGGTATAGAAATGAATCTTCACGAATGTTTTTCTAGTAACCTTTAGAGTAAGTTTCATCACGCTGTACCACTGGAGATCTCATATAGGCATACGACTATGGTTAAGGATTTTAGTTATTGAACTTACTTTTATATCTACTGCTAGGAAAGTCAGATCTACTAACCGCTGAGCGTACTTAGCAAACTCATACATACGTAGTGTGCTCCTCTGGCGGATGAGCACCCCGAGTGCCTGTTATAATAGGTACTTTACTTAAAATTTTCCCGAACACTTATTTTTGATGGAAAAGATAAAGCACACTAAAGCTACTATATATCATCCTACCGGGAAACTTGAGTAATAAGGAAAAAAGACTGAAAGAATTTTATACATAACTTCTTTTAACCGATGCTAAACATCATATTCCGACTTTCGCTCTCTTCTTTTTTTTGCACCATAATTAAACATATTACATGTCATTAAGACAAATTGACAATTAAAAATGTGTATCTCATTACTATTTTATTAAATTGAATAATGTTCTCTTTAATAGCTTGCTATGGTAATTTCATGGTATACTTGCTTGTTTGAAATTATTTTCCTTACAATTATTTTTCACATAAAGACAAAAGGAGAATTAATAGCCACCCTGCAAAAGGACTGGTCTGCTATAGAAACGCTAGCAGAAGAGCATCCGTATATAGTAGGATTACTGAACTATACCAAGGATTACATGTGTACAGGTACCATAATTAGCAAACGAACTGTTCTCACATCGGGAACATGTCTCAGTACAAAACTTAAATACATAGTTGTGGGAACTGCATTACTAAGAAAAAGTATCAAAAATAATATGTTATTAGAGATTGCAACCACAATATTGCATGGAGATTATATTTTCGAGTCAAAATTCTCTGGCGTAAACGTTACCAGATTACACAGTAACATAGGTTTAGTTATATCTACTCGGCCAATCTTAACATTTTTCTTTGTAAGCGCTGATATTGGTAATTATTATGCTTCTGAATTAGAAAGAGCAACACTTACTACAGTAGGGTACGGGAAAATTCATAACTCAGATGCAATGGTGCTACAAGCTCAAGAATACCGTCAAATTCCCTGTACAAACCCTAAGTGGTACTATTGTGTATGTGGGATTGAATACTCACCGTATAGAAAGACGTACGAGCAAGAATTTGGCAATGGTGCGCCAGTTTTGCACGAAACCGAATTAGCCGCAATAACGGCTTCCCCATGTGGAATTCTAATACTCACATCTACGAAAGTTAAATACAATATATTCACCGTCGTTGGACCGTACTTACCATGGATTGAGAAAATGCGATTGAATTTTACTATTGCCTCTACTAAATCTCTTCGAGCTCGTAACAGTGGTGATATTAATGTCAATATAAATACAATATATTACTTTTATATTTTCATAATATTTATTAAATTTCTTACGTAATTAAAAGAAGTTTATATATTATCCTTATATCTAGCAATAACATAAGTTTAGATAATCATAATAAAAATTTCTTAATTCCGTTATCGACATATTTGCTCATTATTATGCTATGCTAATATTCTCAGGAAAATAAGCAAGTTATCTAAGTAATAGAGTGCAAGATATCAAATCAAGTGGAAGGGCCATGCCTCAGTTTCGTTTACTTTGTCATTTGTGTTAAATGATCCGCCTATTTTATCCTTCATCATCCACTATACGAATTAGGTAAGTGTTTATGAAATCCCAAAAATCGATTTTTTTGCACTAGTAATAATATATATTCTCTTCTTTTATACATTTATTTATGGCTTTTATACATAACAAGTACCTAAATATGTGTCCTATTATAGACAGTATATGAAATTACATCAAAAGTTTTATTATAAACATGGAACAAAGTACAAAATTGGTTACACCTAATATTAAAAGGTTATATCAATGGATATTCTTTATGAGAATATACACTCATACAGAATATCTACTGGTCTAAAGATTTTTATTGTTGAAATGAAATATCTAGCATATATGTACTTACATCCTAGCATTAAGATCGTACATTATTAGTTTATCTGTACACTATAGGTAATTGAAATACCTGCTCATAAGTTTACGTGTGTTGCTTTTTGAAGTTGGTAAGGCTTTAAAAATAAATTATTTTTTAGCAAAAAATTTCTTATAATGCCTTTGTAAATGTACGTTCCAAATATTAAGTATAATAATTTTAAAAATTAACTCTCTAGCAACACCAGTAAAATGTTACTTCTGAAAAAACTTCATCCCTATCGTCACCTAGCATTTGTATATCGTGACCCGTCTTCCCAACTCTATCTCAAATTTCTTACCCTGGTGACTTGGCCTCAATCAGTCAAGGAATTAACGATAATGCTATACTATAATACAATGGGTATCCACTTAATGTCTGGAATCGATCGTTATCGGCTGTGTTAATGAAGTAATTTCTAAATTATCACATAAGCGTCTCACCCCTTAACCTTTTATTATTTAAGATAAAGTAACTATATTTGTTTTAGTAATGCTTGAACTATTTATCAGAACGGTGTTGTCTGGTACTTGTGATTGTAAATAGAATAAAAATGAATTTTATCAGAGTGTTTGTGCGAAATATGAGCCACAGCAAGAAATGGGAGCCGCTAAAAGGAGTTGGCATCATCGGTGTGCCTTTTGAGAAGGGCCAAAAGAAATACGGTGTGAGCGTCGCGCCGGCCGCTATGCGCTCGGCTGGTCTTATTGACCACCTCAAAGAAATAGGTATTTATATAAGAGTATATTTTAATGTGCCCAACTAACATAATTTATGTTACTCACTATTAGCTTTTTCATATATAATATTAGATAATATAAAAGTTTAATCTTTCATTAATATATGTAACAGTAATTCATAATATAAAAGATTTAAATATTTCTAAAATTACATTTATTACCTTACTTAAGAAAGCATTAAGTATAGCTAAGTACATTTAGTTTGTATACATAGACATTATTTAATTACATACATAAAAAATAACAGTGATAATCACAAATATAGACATATATGTAAATAAATTTATACCGATTCTAAGCAGGCATTATGTAACGGCTTTGTATTCACTATTTTAAAATTGAAATCAAGATAAATCTCCACCAAATTCTATTCAATGTTAGTAAAGTAGGAAAAAACATGGCAACATGCCTTGTACTGGCTCGTACACTCTAATTTGCAACTGTTATCTTGGTGCCAAATTAATTTAACGTAGTCCTTTGCATGTTATGCGACGATTTACAACCGCATACAAGGCGAGTACAATAAAGAGCCGGAGCCAAATGTGTAAAATATGCTTTCAAATTTATAGATACCTATAATCTCCCTTACAAATTTAATTAAATAAATACATCAAAAATATAATATAAATAAATAGGGAAAACGTATTAACAAGTAGTAGTTCGCTTTCACATTTATTATAGGTACGTTTTAAACATTAAAAAGAAAATACCTACGGTACCAATCTTGTTTTGGTAACATTCTTACAATATCATAGCCTCAAGTATTTAATCTCGCATTTGAACTGTTGTGCGTTTACGGTCTGGAACTTCGTATATAAGTTTTCAATTAAATTAATTCACAGGGAAGCTTCCGGAGGAACTGCGTGTATGTCAACCTGACAAGTTACATCTAGCTATGTACCATGTCACGGGGCCATAAGTTCACATAACTAACAACCTCTTTCCCCCTAAACGTACCTGTACTTAACTGTATTTATAGATGGACTAGATGTTGTGGACTATGGTGACATCGAGACCGTATCTCCAAAACAGTCTGTTACTGTGAACAACATGTCACACTTGCCGACGGTATCAGCCTGCAATCAACAGCTCTCTGAACGTGTCTCACAAGTTCTCCGTGATGATCGAATAGCAGTTACTATTGGTGGAGATCATTCCATAGGAGTTGGTGAGCTGCATTTTAATTTATACTTATCGTTTTTTTATTTTTGTGACTTTTTTTCACCTTTTAGAAAGTCTAATGCCTTGATTCGTATTGGATAATTAATAAAAAGGCATATTGCAGCTCTTACATACTATTTCATTCCAGGTAGATATTATATATGTTTTCAGTTAGATCGAAAAACTTCACTGATATATCGAAACCTTACCTAAAACGTACGTATTACAATGTGAACAAAGCGTAGATTACGCAGTTAGGTAAAGAATAGTTCAATTTAAAAATAAGTGGTTGACTCCTGTACTCCTAGGCCATTTAGAAAAATAAGAAATATTATTTTTTCTCTACATTTCATATAACTTTTAATGTTTTTGTATTTTGTATATAAGAGTACCTAAACAATACTTTACAGGCACCGTAGACGGTCACTACAAAGTACACGAAGACATGATCTTAATCTGGGTGGATGCACATGCCGACATTAACACAAATAAAACTTCGGAATCGGGATCAGTGCACGGGATGCCGGTGGCTCTCCTTGTAAAAGAGCTATCAGATTATTGGCCTTACCTACCTACGATGGATTGGCAAGTTCCCAAGTAAGTTCTTGGTTTCTTTAATTGAAAATTAACAGAAGATTATTGGTTTTCTGTTGGAAGTTAACCCCTAAACTATAATGTAACTAGGCACTGAAACAATAAATAGAATAGATTAGGTATATCAAATTACCTAAATAAATATGCTTTTAATTAAAAATAATTAGGTAATGTGTTAGTAAAAATCATATTTTAAATAATAATCTACTAGGGCCTGGAGTACTTACCTACGAGTTCCTTCCTCATATAAAATTTGTCAAGTTTTATTATAGATTTTCAATAAAGAACCTGGGATATGTCGGGCTTCGGTCTGTGGACAAATACGAGAGGTTGGTTATTGAGAAATATAATGTGCCAACATTCGCTATGGAGGATATTGAAGAGTAAGTTTACTGTATTTACAATTACGTAGATAAATATGAAATCACCTAATTATATGTAATTTTAATAAACTTAAGTAGAGTTCCACTTAATTTGACAAGTTACATTTGCATGAAAGAAATAGGAATGGCGAACAAGCTGATGGTCCATATGGTAAATTAAGGCCTGGAGTTCCGCTAAAGTATATAACTTTAGCGGAACTCCAGAGATCACATTATCATGTGGCACGCCCTCATACCGCCCACGTCGCCCTTCCGGTGGTTTAAGTTATCATAATTCTTGATTATACACGTTGATAGTATACCTACTGTTCTTACCCCACAAACGAATAACAACCTATTATATAAAGCAAACTGCTGGCGGCTGAAATGGGTAAAGCTGATAAGTATTAATATTAGGTACCATCCATTAAATCAAGTTCATTTATTTCAGGCTCGGTGTAAAAAAATCCATTTACCACATACTACAAACCTTGGACCCTAATATGAATAAACCGATACATGTGAGCTTCGACATAGATTCGCTGGATGCTTTAGAAGCGCCTAGCACCGGTACTCCAGGTAAACATATTTTATATTACCGTACATAGTATGTCTTTTAATTAGAATTGTAAACATTATACACAATATTATATTAAAATAATAATGGTCTCCTATAGACATATACTGCATTACGGACATATCATTATTACATGTAGGTATACCTAATAGGTTATATGGGTGTATAACCTGATGCAGGTTTCAAATAATTCATTTTTAATTATTTATTAACCATTCTAGTTAAGTAATTTATCTACCCTTTTTATTTAATTGGACTGCCAAACAAGGCGTTACTATGTGACCTAACGGTAACCGTCGCCTATATACCCCAACAGAAATACCGACATCACGTTTGAACATGTGACACCCCTAATACCACTTACGTGTTGCACAGAGGACTAAGATGTCATGCCTCTTAACCTGTAATTTAATTGCCTAATCGAAACACAGCTTACAAAGCAAGCGGCTTGGAGACTAAAATAGGTGAGACAGATGTCCCCTCACAGACATAGTACTACTTATTACGACTAGACTAGTCTACCTCTGGTACTTGCGTATACAATTGGCCCAGTATCTTTCTTGAATATCGTATGTAACTATGCCCGCCATCTGCTACAGCGTTCCTCAACCGCATTACTTACGTTTTACAGTTCGAGGTGGTTTAACTCTCCGAGAAGCGATCAATCTGATGGAAATTATCCACTCGACCGGCCGACTGCGAGCTATAGACCTCGTAGAGATAAATCCAGCTCTTGGCAACGATGCAGATAGGAAACGCACTATTGAAGCAGGTCTCGCTGTCTTGAGAGCTGGTTTAGGTTTCTCAAGAAAAGGAACGGCACCTCGTGGCATATTGGACTTACCTATACAAACTTACCATGATCGAGAATACTTAGCAAAATTGAATTAATAAATTACCTATAAAAGTTTTAACTTATCTATTAGGTATAAGATAATGTACTAGGAGTATTTATAAACATGCTTCAAAAAGGTTCTAAAATTCTCAATGCTCTAAAATTGACTGTTGTTTTCGAGTATAACATGCAACATTTCACCTTGTACCTATACTAGCGATTTTGGTAATGTTTTAGTACTTCTGGTTTTGAAAATGACGTTGATGATGAATGATAAATAAATCTTTTTTCTGAAATATTCTAGCTAGGTCTTAACTCACTTACAGTGACGTCAACAAATATTGTTAATGTATGTAAAGGACCTATTAAGTTGTTTACTGATGCGTAGGTAAATGTCGTTACGCATAATTGAACAACTTAATAGCTATAATTAGCAAAAACAATGTACCCAACACTATATGTACATATATCTTAATTGCTTTTTATGATAATATTAAGCACGTTAGATTTAATGATATTATGAATATTGATGAAAACACCTTGTCCATGTAGACATTATTATTTTCTATTTAATGAAATTTTAGAATAAAATACTTGTATATTTCCTTTCATTAGTGACTGTAACTTAAGCACATAAATGTATTAAACATAAACTCGTATTGTTCCGATGCATTTTCTTTGATGTTTTCAATATGTCGTATGGAAATAGATGTATGTATATAGTAAACACTGTTCTGAAACTTCCTTTGCAAATAAATTAATATATTAGTAAGTTCTAAAATGGCATAATAGAAAGGAAGACAATAAATTTCAAACAAAATTCTACTTTCTCTTATGATAATTAAAGTTAAGATATCAAAATACAAAAATAAACCTTACAACTAAAAAATACTTCAAATAATCACGTTATCAGTTTTATGAGAAACATTCATACACTTTTTATTACAACAGTGTTCCCAAATGTTTATTTTTAAAATATGTTATTTATTGTCATAAAGACATAATAATGTCTCGAACCTATAATTACTGAGATAGCGACTTTGTTTTTATAAATATAGGTAACTACATTTCATAACAAAGAAAAGTACCTATCTAGCGATAAGTATATAACCGTGACGTGATCATAAAGTCATTGATTAAAAATATTAATGACATTTTTATGGAGGTATGTAGCAACTTACACGATCGTCAGGCTTCTCGAATCAAGTTGTGGCAGAATGATTCTAACATTGGTGAGATAGAAATCTCTAATTCCCAAAATTTGTTTAGGCAGATACATAAATTAAACTATAATATTTATTTTTTACATTCCAATCTCATTTTGCAGAAAATTTCAATGAATATAGATAGATATAAGACATAATTTTCAATTTAAGGAAAAATTAAATTATGTATATCGACGTATTTATACAAATAGAGAATGTTAGTATTACTTACGTCAATAGATAAGGCATCTGTTATACATGTTGTGTCGTCGTAATAACCTCTATTGTTTCATTCGTTCTTTTAGTAGATACCTAATATTCTTATTATTATCATTATTCTTTTAGTTATAAAAAGTTAACAAAAAGACATCGGATTTATATTGCAGTAATGTAGGTAAATCCGAAAGTGTCTGTCTGTCTGTCTTTTTATAAACTTTGGATTATTGGATTCTTACTTGTGCAATCTATAATTTTAAGATTGCACAAGTACGAACAAAGGTTACCTTTTGTGTCCACAATAAGTGGACAAACTCGTAGCTAATTACTAGACCGTTAATAAACTATATATAGGACTTACTTTAGAAGATAGTTCTGATTAAAAATATAATTTGCAGATTCTGTTAACAATTACAGTTGCAAATGCTTTGGAACCAAACAAAGAAAATAATGATGAAGAAATTAAAAGAGTTATAATGAAATATATCAATAAGGTACCAGACGTGGAAGCGAACTACGTCGTCAATGAGAGACTGTCCAAAATAATCTCGCAGTATTTTCAAGGAAAAATAAACACATTCCCACTGTACAGGATAAGCTTAAAAATTGACAGGAACCCGATAAAAATACCATGGATTTTGGGACAACCGACAAATGTAAACGGAACTACACAGGGTAAAAGATACACTTACGTGAAACGACAAAAGAATAAAATGTATAAATAATAACCAATATTTTAGTTTTACTATTTTTTTTATTTTTTATTTCTTTTTTTTATATATTTTATTACTGTATGCAGCCATTAGTATAGACACCGGTAAATAACTTGGAAACTATTTTCATACCATATGATTAATAAATATAGAAAATACAATTGTACTCACAAAATCGTGTATTGCACAATTTTTTGTTTACCGCAAACTATTTTACATTAGCATTGCATTTAAAACTAGGATATCTACGGCAAACCGCTGATATTGATTGATTGATTAACTAAGTAATTATGGATTTATTAATACTACTATACACGACTTACTTTTTTTAATTCAAGCTTTTTTTTTATCAGTGAAAGTATTACCATATTAACATATCACTACCTATGATATTCATGAATTATACGTTTAAGAGCAACGAATAGTTAAATATTTCGTACGGCAAACTGAGCTTTCCAGAAGACAAATACAATGCTTGCATTTTAAAAACAGTGCTTACATTTTAATTACAAATAATTGATGGTCTATTGTAAATAAAAATTAAGTTACCAACAATTTTAAATAACAGCAATAAGATTATTTTATTACCTATAAACGCCCAAACTTGTTGCAACTTTCATAAACATATCATTCACAGCATTGCTCACATTATCGATGGCTAGTCATAATGGATGTATTAAATATAACAACAAGACTAGTGGCATCACTAAAATACCACACACCTCAATGTTAACAATGAACTAATATAATTATTTCTCGCGACACATTTCTGAAATAAATATCACAATAAGATATACGATGATCTTTTTTTTTCAGGACAATTTTTACTATTTTTATATATTACAATTTTTCCATGTATTTTACAAAGAAAACACACAAAATTATGTGTATAACTCAATTCAACATTAGAACTATGAAACTTTTTTCTTTGGCTTTTTATAATTAGCCTGAATAATTTAAAATGCTAAATATATATTATTAATAATTACTTTCAAAATAAGATTATGCTACTGCATAAATTAGAAATAATGAGAATGTACTTTTTTTATAGTTTTAACAGTATTTAAATTACATTCCAGAATACCATCGAAATTTCTAAATTTAAATTTTCAAACAGTTTTTAATTGATCTGGATTATTTTACACAGATAATTACTACATCTTTCATTTATACAACATACACACACACAACAACACCAAGTTCGGACTACTCTCTACCAATTACAACAATGCATACATTAGTTTCATTCATATCGATGAGTCGTGAATATGAATTGTTAATTTTGAGGATAGACCACATTCCTATTACAATACTTTGAGGACACGCAGTTTTTGTAATTACTTTTTGTATTTTTTTCATGAATTCTAATCATGTCCTTATTTCATACTACACACGAACAGTAATATTTTACGATCACGTTCAATATGAATATGCCAATTCAATATGACTCATATGGACTCATATTGTGATTTAAACTAATTGTCACTGTCTACTGAATGTGTGAATTGGCCACAATAAAACTGTAATTGTTTTCTTTGACTTTTATAATTTGTTTATAACCCAATTAATATGGAATACATATAACTTCACTTATTAACTAGGAAGAAATTGATGTGCTGAAATTAAAATGATTGAGTACTTTATCAAGGAAAGCAACTACAACCTTTAATCAGATCCTATTTTAATAATGAATGACAAGATTAATTTAAATTCCATAATTTCCACAATAACAAATATAAATTCCATGACGTATGCAGATAAAATTTTGCTATTAATGTAAAACATTTAGAAGTTTACTTGGGGTCGATAATGTTTCTGGAACTTATTACTTTTCAATGAAAGTTTCATCTGCCATTTTGACTGTACCCGTTTCATGAAATGGATGTCTCTTGCTTTCCTGTAGAAAAACAAGATATATTAATTTATTAATAATAAAAAGAAATATGCTAAGGAGAAATACATGTTAAGCAGAATATATATGAGGATTGTTACATATTATGTATGATGTTGTAATTCATGAAAATAAATATTTACCTAGCTGCTAACGCCTGTTCCTTAGGCGCCCAACCCAGTGCTCGGTAGACTCCCAAAAGCCTGTGCAATTTTCGATCTGATTTTTTCACAAGAGCCTGACTATTGTTAGTTATGTTCTGTTTGTAATACCTGTAATTATAGAAATATATTTAAGTGTTCTGAAACAGAGGAAGACAATAGAAAAGAAGGTCAGATTATATTAAAAAGATTTCTGACCCATTGTGGCTCTGATTAACAAAATATAGATTATTGTAAAAGAAGTAAAGAAAAAATATAGGACTTTGTGTCTAACAGACTGACTCAGAGACTGATGAGCAGAAGAACCAAATCTATGTTACATATCATTAATATTTATTGTATTTATTTATACTTTTAATAAACACTTCTATTAAATTATGCAATTATTTGTAATTTAAAAGGTATATGATACTACCAATTAGAAAATTTTTGAAGAAATGGTGTTATTTTTTTAACTCAAAAACATTTTTTTATACCACTTAGGTGGCAAACAAGCATACGGCCCATCTGATGGTAAACGGTTACCGTTGCCTATGGACGCCTGAAACACCAGGGGGGTCACATACGCGTTGCCGACCCTTAAGAAATCTTAATATATATTCTTGAAAAACTTAAAACCCCATGCTGTAGTCTCTCGAGAAAACCTTGGCAGGTAGTTCATTCCACAATCTAAGTGTACGCGGGAGGACGCACTGTCCGAGATCACTTAGGTTCTAGCGTGTGGGGATGAATTCCCTGTCCATGGCGAGCGGTGCGATGGTAAAAGGTAGCCGTAGGCATCATGTCAAACAATTCATCAGAACACAGTCCGTTGTATATTCGGTAGAACACACAAAGCGATGCGAAGTCTCGCCTCAAGCTAAGTGGTTCTATACCGTTTGAGAGTATCGTAATATTGGTATCATCGACAATTCTTATAGCACGTCTCAGAACCGAGTCAAAAGGACCGAGCTGGTATCCAGGTGCTCCTGGCCAAAAATGAGAGCAGTACTCCATGTGCGGCCGAACTTGCGACTTATACAATAGAAGTCTCTGGTTCGCAGTGAAGTACCGCCTCGCTCTATTCAGCAAACCGAGCTTTTTGGACGCCAGCTTGACCTTTTCTTCGAGGTGACTACGGAACTCAACTGTGCTAGAGATGTCGACACCGAGAATCCCAATACTCTTAGAGATGGTAATGGACGTGTTCTGGAATTGCAGAGCCACAGCAAAAGGGGTTTTCTTAGCGGTGAACGCACAGGCTTGTGTCTTGGTAGGGTTGAATTGAACTAAGCTCAATCGCCCCCAATCGGAGATTCTGGTGAGAGTACTCTCGATTTCAGACACAAGCTGTTCGCGGTTTGCCTCCACAACGGAAAGAGGAATGTTCGCACGGCCCGTGTAAAACGCGTCCCCAGTACTGTCATCCGCGTAGCAATGAATGTCAACCGTAGTTAACAAATCATTAATATGCAGCAAAGACAGTGTCGGGGAGAGAACAGAGCCTTGCGGGACGCCAGCGTTAATGTCCATGCTATCGGAGCAACTACCGTCGACGACGGTTTTGATGCATCTGCCAGACAAAAAACTAGCGTCCCATTTGCATAATCCCTCTGGTATTCCGTATGAGGGCAATTTCGATAGAAGACCTTGATGCCAAACCCCATCGAATGCCTTCGCCATATCAAGGCTGACTGCCAACGCCTCACCTTTGCTCTCGATGGCAAGAGCCCAGCGGTGTGTGAGATACACTAAAAGATCACCAGTTGAGCGATTATGGCGAAAGCCATATTGACGATCGCTCAATAAATCGTGATCTTCTAGGTATCTGAGGAGCTGTGTATTAATTACACGCTCCATCACCTTGGAGAGCAAAGATGCGATAGCGATAGGCCTGTAGTTCGATGGGTTTGACCGGTCGCCCTTTTTTGGCACAGGGTGCACAAGGGTGGTCTTCCATGACCACGAAAATTGCCCAGAGCAGTATGAAAGCGCGAAGAGGCGCGTGAGTACGGGACACAACTCAGGAGCACACTTCTTTAGTACCAAAGCCGGTATGCCGTCTGGCCCGTTCGACTTGTTGACGTCGAGAGACAGCAACTCTCGCCGGACACTCCGTTGTGTTACGGATATTTCCGGCATTGAGTTACCACACCATGGGATGGTAGTAGGTATGGTGTCCCCAGCGTCTAAAATCGAATGTGAGGCAAAAAGAGCGCACATCAAATCGGCCTTCTCTTTTGCACTATGTGCCAAGTTATCATCCGGCTTCCGTAGTGGTAGTAAGGACGACTGACTAAAGTTACCTTCGGCAGCCTTAGCAAGGGACCAAAAGGCTCGACTTCCAGAAGGATGACGGGCTAGTCGCTCCCCAATTTTGCTGACGAAGTCGAATTTGGCTCTAGCAATTACTCTCTTACTAAACCTGGATGCAGCATTTAAATTCCGCCTCGCATCAGATACGCCAACATCCCTGTTGGAACGAGCCGTGGTCCAAGCCTGATAAACAGTTTCTTTAGCCTCCTAGCTTCTCTGCATGACCTATTAAACCACGGACGCTTTTTAACCCATAAAGCAACAAACAGATTTGGAATGAAACATTCCATACCCGCAAGTATGACTTCAGTAACGGCGGCTGTACAGGTATCGACGTCTTCTGATGCAAAGCAGTGCTGCCTCCATGGGTACGACGCGTAAAATTCTCGCAATCTGTCCCAATCTACTTGTTTTAGATAACATGCAGATTAAAATATTACAAAAGCTAGATAAATGAACTATATCACAATTACTTTACAAAACCATTCTTAACTCACAACTTACTAGTTCAGGCACATAACTATAACTAGGATATACTATTAATAGGATTTTATGACTTACTTCATGAGAGAACGATGACCAACAACTACACCCGAAGGTAGCACCAATTGAAAATCATCACCTTCCAAGGTAGTAGGACCGTCAACCTCTTCATCTATATCCATATTTTCATCATTCTTATCATTGTCAGGATATGAGGAACTGAAAAAAAGATGACACTAAGTATTTTTAACCTAGAAGCAGAACAAAGCCGACTGATCAATCAATCAGCAAAGGCTTCTGTGACAATTAATCTGAAAGTCAAATTGAGTTTTTGTTACATTATGTTCTCTGTCTTCCAATAAGTCGTAAAAAAGTAGTTGCTGTGTGAGATGTAATTAGAAGTGTGGCTGTACTCCCCTAGTATGCTCATTGCTAGCATGTATCAGGTCTGAGAGACCCTCACACAGTCCATACTGGAAACAATAGTGAGTTATTTTTTTTTCAGTTATTGATTTGACTTTATGGTCATCCTATAATCCTCCAATAGTGTTTGCCCCTCAAACACTATTGGAGAATGATAGGATGAGCTTTATTTTTTAAATTAAAGAACCTATGTTTATTATCATGATACAATCTATAGTAATGTTAAATCTTATTAAATCCTATTCAGCAGTTTAGTTGTGAAAAGGTAACAAAACTGACAGACTGATACACATTTATAATATCTGTGTGGATTGATAAATTATAGGATTATATTATTAACATGTAAAATAAATAATACAATCGTATAAAATAAGAATTTGTAACTACCTATAATCATAGTAGTCAGCATATTCAGCCAATGCTAGTCCCTCATGCAACATCTTGCAGTGTCCCTTATCAATCATGTGTGCTCTGGCGGCCTCCATTGAGTAGAAGGTCTTGCCTGTATCATTGCACCACAGACACATATAACCTTGTGATATCTAAAATTGAAAATAAAATAATACACATTTAAAATGTAAATAATACTTATTTGTCCAGTCAAACAATATTAATGAAATTAATTCAATTTATACTTGTCAAAGACATATGCATGTTTATGACATAATTTTAACTATATAATAAGATGCACAAAATAATATCCTAAAGTCAATTTATTTATTTTTTATGTATAAATAATATTTAATTTTAATAATAAGCCTCTTTATATATTTTTATATAAAGATATAGATATATTCACATATTTTTTATACTACAGTGGTGATTCTACAGTATGAATAAATATCCTACAGTAACATCTAGTTTAAAATTACAATATGTACTATAGCAAAAAACTGTAACATATAACATGTTAAAAATGTTCATAGAAACTGAAAAAATGGATCTTATTAAACACTAGTGACTCGCCTGGCTTCACACGGATGTACATGAATTATATATATATATAAACCTTCCTCTTGAATCACTCTATCTATTAAAAAATACCTCTTCAAAATCCGTTACGTTGTTTTAAAGATTTAAGCATACATAGGTACAAACAGAGACGGCGACTTTATTTTATACTATGTAAAGATATACATCTTAATTAAATAAAATTAATTGAAATGTGCCTAAAGTCTATCACATGAGAATGATATTATAATCAGGTTATCTGTTTGATTCTTATGATGTCACAGAAATAAACAAAAGTGATAACACCTGTCTTTCAATAATTTTTTTAAAAATATAGAGGAAACTCTCTTTCTTAATGAAAATTATAAAATTTTTTACCTTTTCTCCCAAATATAACAAAAGTCCTTTTACATCAGTGCAGTACTCAAGGTCAGGAATAAAGAATGAATGTGCCTGCAACATGTGCTTCAGGTTCTTCACCATGTTCTTGCTGTGATGCATACAGAACAAGCAATCTCTTGGCTTTATGAGGGAATCACTGCCTTTAATACGACATTCTTCCCATTCATCAGAGTCCAACTAGAAACACAAAGATTATAAATATATAGTTAAATAATACATGTTTTCATTTCCATTGTATGTTATTCCATTGTAAGCATGATATTTTACATCTTCTCAGTATTTTGAAATGGCTGTCTATAAGTGGGACATGCACATAATAATGTGATGCCTGTGGTGCTGGTCAAGGCACAGGTCATTATCATAACATGCTGATGACTTATTAGATAAGTCATCAGCTTGTTTATAAGTCTAGTTACATAAAATAAGATTATTTATTTTTATAGCATTTGTGATTATGTTTAGAATGTAATATCACCATTAATGACTAATTAATATTATGAAATTATTGTGTAATAACACTCAAACTGAAATCTCTCACTAATAAAAACAGCAACTGAAAGTTATGTTTATTGTTCATATAACCTCTTATTTATATGAACAATAAACATAACTTTCAGTTGCTGTTTTTATTAGTGAGAGAGTCAATACTAAAAAAATATTCATTGTATTAATACCTCTTCGATTTCAGAATCCGTTTCAAGATCTTCATCTCCAGAATCATCAGCATTCACGACAACGAATTTCCCAGGCAATGTAGAAGGCTGCCCCGCCTCAACCTTCACAAAACTATCAGTATCTGAATGCTCCTCATTTTCGTACCTTTCTTCAGCCAACTTATGTTTCTTGCTATTCAAATGATTATTATATGAATTTTTTGTATTGAACAACTTCGTACAACATTTGCAGTAGTGGGATTCATCATTGTTCGCATTTTCTTGCTGCTCCTTATGCTCCTTTAGTCGAATCTCAAATTCTTCTAGAGACACAGGCGGTATTGATGCTACTTTGCGCTTTAAATTATATCTATGCCAGTCAAGTTTATAATGTTCACGTTGTAACTCTGGTGTTTTAAACAACACCTGACAAGTAATGCACGTGAAGGTATCAGGCATCATAAACTTTCCTTATTCTACACTATAGTAGTTTATCACAGCTAATGAACACGGTAGAAATAACACTTAACACAAAAGAAAGGATAGAAAAAAATTATTGAGGAAAAATTAGGAAAATCGAATCAGACGGAACAGAATAGAAATTGGAAATTAAAGTTTTTTTTTAATTCTTATCAGTAGTGATTTAGTTGACATTGACATCGTAACACCGCAGCACAGTAATTTTTCGATCGCAGTCACTAGTCATTAGTATCACTAGTAAAATAAACAGTTATCACAGTAGCATTAAGTAAGTAACTGTATGTATTTTATATATGAATTATGATTTGAATGATCAGTTGATCAGTGAGCTACTTTTTACTAGATAAAATAAAACGAATATTTAATATCGTTTGTGACCTCATGTTAACGAATATACAAGGCAGTTTGAAAGTATTGTAGATAAGGAGATCGATGAATCTTTTTGTACACATAGCCTACATAATACACAACATTTTTACATTAATTGAAATTTAAATATCAGTAAATATATTGGAGAATATATTACTAATTTATTACAATGAAGTGTATTAAATAACAGCATGGCAAAATTAACAAAACATACTAAGCACATTGTTATGTATTCACACAGCGATATCTAGTACCAAGCTACGTAGAGCCTTTGTTATAGGTACTGGACAACTGATATTGGTACATGTTTGGAAATACATACTCTATATATATATATATACAGATACAAAAAACACCTAAGCTTTTCATACAAATAATTACTATGATCTTCGCTCTCATACATTTCGTCAGTTTATTATCATCTGTAATATACATCGTCTCACACGACACGACAACTTCCTATTATTACCTCGCAAAAATGATTATATCGTGCGAGAAATTAACCTGCAACTATTGGATGTAAAGCTGCGTGCTAAACTACTAGACCATAGAGGCTGACGGCCTATATGACGACGACGGCAATAATAAGAATAAGAAACGAAAAACTACGAATAAAAACGATAACAGTTGATTAGAGTTTCGAAATAAAAGAACTGTTCCGGTATGTGAACCCCATCCGTATTTATTGATTCTAATTATATTTGACAGTAACAGCTTTGACATGTCATTCTCAATACTTGGCTGTCAATTTAATTGTCAAATGTCTGTCTAGTATTTTGTTCTTATTTTTTTGTTATAGTTTATTACATTTTAACGATTGGCATTATTATTAATTAATAAGTAAACAACTTATGCTAGAATATCGCTTTTTACATAAGATTTAGTGATTATGTTGGAAACGGAAGAAGTAGATGAAGATTATTTCTGCCCTGCACCTAAGTAAGTTTTTATTTAATCTTTGAAGTTGATACATATATACCTAGCCGATTCATACTTAATTCATAAAATATGTTTCCCTATTTTATTTTAGCACATCATTAGCAAATATTTTCGGTAATCCGCGAAATGAAGCTAAAGGAGAAAATGAAACTCTAAAGTATATACCTCATAAGCCACACAATCTAGCTGTAAAATCGGAAACCAAGTCGTCAGAGTGTATATTTGCTTGTGCTTTACTTGGCTATGAATGGTATGTAACTATGCAATTATTTTAATTACTTAAGTTCTAAATTTAAAACAACCCATTATTTTTAGTAGTAGGCAGCAATACCTACTACTAAAATAAAATATCTCATTATATCTTATCTCTCATCTCTCTCATTATATCAGATTTAAAATATTGTATATTTTCAACTTTCTATAGGCAATTGTCACTAATTTAATTATAGTTGCTATAGTTCATTTATATATTCTCTTAATTGTCTTGTGGCAGAATTAGAATTCTAAATAACAAAAAAAGAAGTAAATAGCATTAACAAGTTCAGCAAATATCAATATTACATTTTTATTTTTATCTTAATTTATATATTTTTGTTTTTCAGGCATAATAATATTTACGCTTCTAAAGGCAAGATTGGATTGGCCATTTTGAACATGATGAAATCTGCTCAATATAATATAATATTATATGATTCAAATAAAGCTACTTTGTCTTGTGTTACTATTTCACCAACTTTAGAAGTTATGGTAAAAGATAATGTGTACCTCTCATACTATGACAATCAACAAAGGTATTGGACTATTTATGGTAAAGAAGATGAGATTAATAAAATTGTTGACACACTAAAAAATTTTGATGCTGTTATAAAATTCTCTTCTAACGCAGAAAAAGGACCACCTGAACCTAATGAAACTAAAAATATTAGTACTGTTTCATCAAACATACCACTGCAGGCAGAAAAAGAAAGTGACACAGACTCTTCAGTGAATAGAAGAACAAAATTGACAATTTTAAATAGAATGGCAACTGTAGGACATTCTATATTGCCCCCAAATACACTGTCCACACTAAAAACAAGTGATTCATCAGATACCAATGATACTGATAATTATTCCAAGACTACAAGACACAAAGTGTCTAAAAATATTGTTAGAAGAAACAATCCTGAAAAACATATAGTAGATAATCAGTCTTTATGTGATACTCAGAGGATATCATTACCCATGATGAATCAATCTACAGAAAATAGTCCTCTTTATGCACATGTAAGTAGCCAATTGGTACCTATGACAAATACTAGTATCATTACTAGCTCTACAAATAATTCAAATGACATGAGTTTGTTTATGTCTGAACAACGAATAAGTAATAGTGAACTTAGAATAAATTTGAACAGAATGACTGACAAAGTAGATCAAATACTTGGAAAAGTAACAGATCTTGATCACAAACATAGTGGATCTACTAATATAAACTTTCAAAATGAAATATTACAGAAACTGTTGACTGAGTATGAAAATAAAATCAAAGTATACGAAGAAATAATTAAATCTAAGGGCACTGAACAGTCAAATATCTTAGTCAAACATGGAAATACATTAGCAGATAACTTAAAACAACAGTATGAAGATGAAATAAATATGATGAAAACTAAGCTTTATAACCTTGAGGAAATTTGTTCAGCAAAGGACAAAGAAATATCAAAATTTAAACTTGATATAAACGAATTAGAAGAAAAAGTTGAAAAGGAAAAGTCGAATAAAAATAATGTTATGGAGGAAATGGTAGAATTAAGAAAAGAATTAATATCAAAAACTCAACAGTTACATGATACTAATCAAAAACAAAAAGTATTCAATACACAAAAAATTGATTTAACAGACAGTGACATTTCAGATAAATTAAAAAATATTATGAATGACACTTTCCATGCAATTTCAGCACATTTTGAAAACAATGATAATTATTCAGGAGAAAACATCAAAAATACTATAGGTATTATTATTAAAAAGATAACATTAAAGTCATTGAAAGAGTCCTAATTACATTCATAAATATTCATTTTCTAACATTATTTTGTGATATAATATTATATAAGCAAGAAGTAATATATAAAGCAATAAATAAATTCATATGATATATAGTATGCATATAATTTTTTTTATGTATGTGAGTTCCGTTAAATTCATAGTTTATTACAGCATCCTGTTGGTACCCATTTGCTACAAAAAATAATGATATAGGTAAAAGACTGACGGTAAACTGCGAATTGGATTCACTTACCGAGGAGTAGAGTAGGAGTAAGTTTAATAATTTTAATCAGTAATATTAAATATTCTAAATAGTTGCATAATTTTGTGATTTTATAATAATAATATACGTACTATCAAATTTTACGCCAGGACATTATTATTTTACATCGACCTTTCTATTAATTCTAACAATAAACTACATAGATGTCCACACCACGTATGTACCAAAAAACTGCTTTTACTATACATACAGCAAAATTACTTTTTGCATTAGGCTACAATTAGAGTTATCGCAAATATGGTCACAAATAAAAACTATTTTGACAATAATTACCCTTATAGTAACGAGCAAACAAATGATACTAACTGTCTAGTATATTTATTTTACATTTATAATTTCAAACCTTAGTTTCATACAGGCTTCTGAGCAAATAACCACTACTATAAATTTATAAATTTCCATTTGACGATTTAGAAATACCTGTTAATTTCGTCATTTTCTGTGGTTTATGGTCATAAATATAAAGAAATTTAAAAGTAGACTTGGCTGTACGGTCTAAGTATCTTTGCCTGGTTCATCATTGAAAAGGAGATGGACGAATATGAAAAAAAAAAAACTGTCATTCCTTCTGTCAAAAATGAAATCGAAATTGATTATTATTAGTATTATAACATTAGTGTAAAACAATTGCATTACTTTATATTGATACTTATAAATTTGTTTTACCATTTTATTGTTCTATTGTTAAATATCTACTTTTAACATACATTTTATGTACCCGAACATTCCATCTGAGTTATAAAGTGATATACATCTAACATATGACAGTACAGGGATTGATTGTTATTGTTTGATTTTTGTAATATACACGTGAATAGTAACTATATAAGTATTAATAAATTACTCAATAATGGAAAATCTAAAAGCATCATTATGTCAATATAATGATCAGGTAAAACAGCTAACAACCATACAGCTCTCTGGTCGCTAAAAACCTTTATCATTTTTAATGTAAAATTATAGCTTTCAATGGTAAATGACGCACTGAAGAGAGTCCAGGATAACGCAGAGCGCGACTCACTTGTGGCCCTTCAGTCTGAATTGCAACAGCTCATACAATTGACTCAGGAAAGTTTAGATACTACGGCCCCGAAAGATAATGTCACTGAAACATCACAAAGTAATAATGAGAAATCTGATTTGGATGATGAATACGCATTATTTATGGTTTGTATTTACTAATGTTTATCTAGTTATCTAGACCAATGTAAAGTCTATCTATGTTAGAATATTCAAAATTTTAAACAATGAGTCTTTTCAATAATTATAAAGAACAGTATTTGTAAGTACAATAAAATTCATCATTTAGTTATTCTACTCAGGCATCACATAATCAGCCAAGAATCCGGATTCAGGCTCTTTTAACTGAAGCTGTATTTTATATAAAAATCTTACTTATATATAATACTATAAAAGTGAAAGTTTGTGAGTATGGATGGATGGATGTTTGTTACTCTTTCACACAAAAACTACTAAACGGATTTTGATTAAATTATACAGTAATATACCTTATGTAATAGAATAACACATGAGCTATAAATTCTATGTGGGTGAAACCATAGGCACAGCTATGTATAAATCAACTGTGATATCTGGATTGAAATAATTAATAAGTATAATAAATAAATAAATATTTGCAGAGCTAGCATTTCTTTTTAATAAATGCCACCAATAACATTGCAATCATGATGATTTAACACTGGGTTCTGATTGTTTTTAATTACATAATTCAGCTTGAACAGTAATAATAACAGGATTATGAGTAATATTCATGAAGATAACAAGATGTATATTGTGATGTCCATGTGTTTGTGTGCTCCCTAACAACATATATGTAGTTAAATAAGCAATGTATTTTACAGCAAGAAATGGCTAAAACTGGTGCATGTAATACAGATAATGAAGAAAAACCTGAATGTTCTAAAGATAATGGTCAAAATGAAAGTGACAACAGTGATATAGAGGTAATAGTAGCAAGTATATTTTAACTTAAATAATTCTTCTAAGGCAGTTGAAAGGCATGTTTCATTCATGAGTATGATTGTTTGTATTGGTGTGGGTGTTCTCTATATATAATATATGTATATATTTATAAAAAAAAATCCATCTACAGTTGAATATGTTTATAATCACATCAAAAGGAATTGACAAATATGTCGCAGAATGTGTAAATATGTATGTACTTAAGTATTTTAATAGAGAAGCATAGTAACAACATGTGTATACATACATATTAAGAGAAAACTAAATATTGCAGGTAATCAGTATATTCTACACACACAAGTGTATATTTTAATGTAAGTAATCTGGAATTTTTGTCTGCTTTTGTTTGTGTGGTCATTATAACGGACATAATTTATTTAAAATGCTACATAATAAGCGACAGGTCACTGTAAGGGAAGTCATTATATCCAACTTTTTTATAAAGAATTTTATATGAAAATCAAATTTCCAAGTGTAATTACGCCATAATAATCGGTTGGTTCTACTGTAGTTGTATCAGCTATCTAGTACCCATAACACAAGCTTTAGCTAGCTTAACTTTGGTCTTAATGGCATTGTGTGAATTATCCTGAGATTATTATTATTATTGATAATTTTGCTTTGAATTAGGATGAATTAGCCACATTACTGGGCATGAAGTGTGCAGTATATCATACTCATAAATGGGGTGGGCAGCCAAGCCTTCACAATGCAATGGTCAGTGCTGTTGTCCCCCGAAATGATGATGACCAGTTTCAAGATCTTCAGGTTAGTTTCAAAATCTTCAGGTTAGATCCATTCTATTTATTTCTATTGTAACAGTTACTGTTTTGGATTCTCATACTTTAGTCACGTAAAAAGAAACATTAAAATTGATAATGAGGAGCCTAATATAGTCATTACTGCCCAAATACACAAATTATAGTAGTAAAACACAAATTGAAGTTTAAATGTCAAAGATCCGTTTCATAATTATTATTGAACATTTAGGGAGTTTTTTATATAGGACATAAGTAAATTTTATTACAGGTACGAGTGCTTTTCACTCATCCAACACATGCAGAAATGTTACCATGTCCTTTCTACCTTGATGGTGAATGTAGATTTGATGATGAACAATGTAGGTGAGTATACTATAAGTTTATTTTAATTAATTAATATAAACATGTGACAGAAGTAACCCTAGATTGGATGCAGAGGGCAACAGCCCATAGTGATATGAAGTATTGTAATGGTGTTGGTAATACTATACTCCATACAGGGTGAGGTGTAGACAGGAAGGTTAAATTCATCACATTGATGGTTCCCACTGGCGACATCAACTCTTAGCACTAGCACTTTGAGGAAGAAGTGAAAAGCTGTGGAGTTTGAGTAATCTTTTTGCAGAGGTAGTTCTAGTAGTATTACAAATAATCCCATTTGTAATAGAGATCAATGGTTAAATTTGTAACAGTGTCCTTATAACAGACCTCCATGTAGTGACCACTGATTGTGCCCAAAAGCCATCACAACAATCCAGGTTATATGTCTTGTTAAATTTGACATAATGATAATGAAAAACTGATGCTTCATGACTTCATGCTCATCCTATCATCATTTACCCACTTTATAACATCTGTGCACACCACATTCCTCGCAAAATAAAAATCATATCATTTCATCCTCCACTGGTTCCGTCCCGCCAGTTTATACAATCAATACAGGAAGCATGCTGCTTCCATTAAACAGGAACAATCAGGAAGCAAACAGTACTGTATGATCTTTACAAATTAAATAAAATGATTACTTGAAAAATTAGTTCATCATCATGTATATTATAGTATGTTAGTTAAAAATTAGTTATTAATAATATACTGTTAATTCCAATAAGTGTGGTTGCAGATATTCCCATGGCAACATAGTAGCATTATCAAATTTAAAAGAAGCAATAGATCCTAATTTTGATTCAGTTAAAGTTGGAAGTAGAATATTACTAAAATTAAAACGGCCTGAAGGAGAGGTAAGTGGTTTATCAACTTAAGTTTCTTAAAGCCTATATTTCTGTAACTCTTGTAATTCTTTAACAGTCAAATTTATTAATACTAAAGATTTTTTTTACATTAACCAGTTAATCTTCCTAGATTACTTAATTTTGTATATGTAATAAAGAAAAAATATACTATATTTTACATTATAATGCACCACATATCATATGAATAATATCTTTTAAACATTTAGAATGTATGATTTTTATAGATTAAGAAAAAATATACCACTAAATACATTATGATGCTTTAAATACTTAATTATTATCCAAGAATTATTTTAACAGGATATTTCTTTGACAAAAAAGTCTACAGAAAAATATCACTTATGGCACAGAGCAATTGTGAAAGGTATAGATTTGGAGAAAAGAGTTTGTTTAGTGAAATTAGAACAAGGAATCCAGACAGGAGAGAAAAGGAAATCAGTACCAGAAGAGTTCCATGTTCATTTAGAAGAAATTTTCCCTCTAAATAGTAAGATCTATAATAATCTTTCAAATGACATAGATTTTGAAATTTGAAGATATAGTCAAATATTTGTTGTTTAAAAATAATTATATAAACAGATGTGAGACACTGCTCAAGCTAACCTTTAAAAATAAAAAAGATATATCTCGATGTTAGCCAAATTACAATATTACCACTCTGGGTCAACATCTCAAGTTATGAGCATGACATCAATATTATTACTTGACTATTTTTGCAGGTGAAACTAACAGCGATTCAGAATCTGATAACAGTCTCAGTGACACAGAATATCCAGATAGTAAAGTAATACGTACAGAAGATGAGAACCGCACCCTGCTGATAGAAAAGAGTTTACAGAGTAATGCACCAGGAATGGGAGAATGGGAGCGTCACACTAGAGTGAGTATGTATTAAGTCACTTATATGTAATAGTTTTACGGTTTATTTATATACAGGTTGTCCCAGAACACAACTTCTAGCCGTTACAGGGTGACAGGATTGATTGTATTCATGAGAAAAATCAGAAAAAAAATCTTATCCCATGCAGTTTGAAAGTTATGGGCATTTAAGAAAAACCTTGTCTTGATGTTGAGTTCTGGGACAGCCTCTATATTCTCTTAGTCTGCTCATAATTAAAGAGTAGAATGTTACACATATATATATGTAGTTTCTTCGCGAATGAGAGCAGAATTTACCTGAATCAACTCATTCATATCTCATTTATGCATATAAGGCATAGTAAATATTAAGTTGAAAAACCTAAATAAAGCTATTTTATTATATGTGCAATTGTAACTGTACTCTAATATGTTGATATTTAAATTAATATTATATGCAATTATTTAACTGTCATGCATTGAAGAGAAAGAAAGAGAAGAAAGAAAAATATTTTATTTAGTGCAATGTAATAGTAGTATTGACGACATATTTCTGAAAAATAATCTAATTGGAAATTGAATTGAATTAAAAGGTCTTTGCTAGTCTTATCATGAACAGGCTCCACTCTTATTTGAGGTGATATGAAAACAGGGTATTGGATCGAAGATAATGCTGGCTATGGGTTATGTGCCTGGCACGGGGCTCGGCGCGGCGAGCGATGGCCGTGTACAGCCGGTTGAAGCCCGTCTGTTGCCGACTGGGAAGAGTCTCGACCAGTGCATGGCTATCTCGGAGAAAAACGCCGCCCAGGACTCGCTCAAGGTAAGTTCCTACTGCTCTAATCTAACAATTGAATATATTGTATAATAGTTTAGCAAAAAACCATTCTATAAAGGCATCTGTACAGATGCACTTGTTATATATAGTATATTATACTCTATTGTTATCATTCACATGATAACACACAATTACAATGTTTTTATTAATACATTTTAATAACACCCAGAAAACCTACATTTGCAGGTAGAACAAAAGCTTAAACGTCTCCAAAAGAAAGAAGAAGAACGAAATAAAAGGGCCTATGAACGTGAGAAAGAAAGAGAAAGGAGAAATGTATTTAATTTCTTAAATAGAACGTTGGGAGACAAATCGGACGAAGTTGAGACATCCATAGTACCACCAAAAGTGATAAAAGAGTCCACAAGTAAAGATTTGAATATTGAACAGTTCAAAATAATGGAAGACATAAAAAAACTTGAACGAGAGATACTAAAATTGAACAATTCCTTAGTTCGACATGATCTTGGATCAAGTGGACACAGAAGTATTAATCTCCAAATTCAAGAGAAAAATAAAGAATTAAATGCACTTAAAAGTAAGGAGCACTTAATTTCTAAGGAACAAAGACATCGAAAGGATAAACATAAAATGGCCGTATTTTAACTTTTACATAAATAACTGTTTAAATACAATAATCTGTATTATAAATTATAATAGGTGTATAAATAAAAAACGTTACTGTAAACAAGTACTTTATTTGCATTCTACACTGTCAGTATATGAACCCCTTTTAACTGAATAGAATTAAAAAGTAATTATATTATATTCAGGAAATAATCACTTATAATCTGTCATTTTGGTGGTGTTAATGAAACACTTGTGTGTAATTATAAATTTCTCTATTTACATGTGATGTTTTTAGTTTAAAATAAGCGTACATGGCGTAAAATTACAATTGATACATGAAACATTTTTTTTCTATAAATTACACATTTGTACTATCAAATCAATATTACAAAGTACTTATACATGTTTACGGGTGTTGTGTGACTAGCAAACAAGATTTGCTGAATTAATAATTTAAATATTAATGTTTTTAGCAACAGTGGGTCATAAGTCATTAAAATCTAAATTATCTAATTTATACTATACCTAGTTTAGGTACCTCGGTTTAGAACCCCTTTTTAAATATAAGCAATAATAAAACGTTAAAATTTTGCATATTAAATATTTCCTTCAAACCTACAATTTACATCTATAAAAATGAGTATAAATCGTGTAATTGTATAATTATGTTTAACGTAAAAACGACATCTTAAATTTGCTACGTGAGCAAGATATTTGTACTTTTTTCTATGACCTGTAATATATAATATTAGAAGTCCTGCGCCACGCATATGATGAATGAAACATGTCAGCTGTTATCAAGATACATTATATACAAATGGTATGCGAGTGTATTTGGACCGATTTTTATCACATTAAAGAGATATTACACTAATGTACTTGCTTGCCCAATCTGCCGTTGGATTCTATAGTCCACTGGCTTTATATATAATGTGTAAAAGTGCCACAGAGACCAAAATGTTACTGATAGGTTAGGATATTTTATTAGTTTTACTCATTATCTGTGTGGCCCAAAGAACATTATGATAAATACATAAATAGCAATAATAAAAGGCAACGCCAATAATCTAAATTAAGATCTAATTTGAGAGAAACTTTACAAGACCCACTGCACTTTACACAATGTGTACACGGTATGATTACTTCGCAAATGTACGGCCAGCAACATTTGCAATTCAACACTGATAATGAATTAAAAATGTTTTACTTGTCATATCAATAATAAAACAGCTTCAATGATAAAGTTTTTACGTTAATTAATTATAATACTATTGTTTATCATTATTGATTCGTTCATCTTACTGTTAAGTTACTAATTTCGACAAAAACATGACAAGACTATTTACTAATTATGTTAAGTATAAAAACAGATTTCAATAGCTCTTGCCAATTACGTTGCTGACTGTATCAAAATCGATGGCGAATCACAACGTGAGGGCATGAACAAGTGGTCATTCCATTTCAAAATTAATAGCGATACCTTTATTTTTACACCTAGAAAATACCACGACGCGTCGGACATAGAGATGCCAAATATGCTTTTGCTACATTATAATGTTCTAATCAAAAATGTTGAGGTATATATTTACGTAATGTATTTGTCGTTTATCTACAGACATTAATTAACCAATAGAACGTTGTAATTCTATATTTTTTAGGTATCTCCACTCCACGTGCTGATGACGTCACGGCATTCATTAATTTCTATCTACTATTGGTTTATTGGTCGACATTCGTATTTGTCATGTTAGATTCTGTTAAATATTTGATTATATTATACTGCTACCCGGACCTGCCTGTGTAACATTACTATTTTACTATTATCTAATAAGTATGCATTGACTCCTCTCAATATTAAAATTTTCCTAAACAAATTCATCACAGAGATTTGTTACATCAGTGTCGCGATCTCCTTTCCACCATCACCATTCATACTCGGCTCATACATTCTATTTAATTGTATTAAAATTTGTGCTTAAATGTTAAATTACATAATTATTATACAAATAGAGAGTAACGAAAATAAAAGAGAGACATTTTTGTACTAATCTAAACGTCTTAAACAATAAGTACACGCGTTATATGAGACTCTTTGCTGCAATACAATCGATTACAATCCATCAAGGATCTGTGATGCCTTTATACCGTAGCTTGTGATAGTAGACCACTCTCATAAGAAGGCATGTATTAAACAGCAACAACAACTATATATTAAAAATGAATGAGATTCATATAGAACTCGTACAAAGCCCTTATTTAATTATAGTTGCGAGTAAATGCATAGTATCTGACCACAAACAGGACCAAATAAATAACGCAATACCACAAGAGTCATACACTTAAATCATATTTACATTAAGGAATCAAATATATATCCAGAAACAACACTAGTGAGCAAACAATATTGAGTCACGTACTTGCTGTCTGTTTAAATAGAGTTACCTCGAGTACTAATATATTGTGCGTGTGCCATTGGAATAAAAAAAAGTTTCCTGAAATTAGACAAATTATTTTTCATAAATGTCGGAAGAAATCGGTTATTTAACAAGGCTTTTCTTTGCTAGTTAGTTGAAATGACGTATGTACTATACCATAGGAAAATAACTTGCAATACATAAAATGTGTAACGAAAAACAACTAATGTCTTAACCGTTTTATAAGATCCAACACCTAATTAGATGTAATCATTAATGTGGTGCGTTATTCTAAATTATAAATTTATATTGATATTATAGTATATCCCCGACAAGTATCGTACACGAAAAAATAAACTATCAAAATTGTAAATTATAATCAAAGTTTTATGCATTTCAAGAGAGATTGTGTCGTGCCTAGACATGTGTAGCAAGACAAATTGCGTTATCTATATACAGGAAATTGTAAATGTCAACTCAGTATCCACTGATAACCTGTATATTTATTACACTAAATGTTTGATGTCTGAGTATTTAACCAAATAAGATCCTAACAGCTGAAAATGTATAAACATCATCATTTAAGTAACTGATAGGCTAGGTACTAGTCTACCAGTGAATACTGATTTCATATGTAACATTATACCAACATCTGTGTGGTCAGTATACTACGATCCGTCTCAATTTATTTCTAAAATAATCGAACATTTTAAAGCGGCATTTATGTGATGCACCAAACCCTGGTAAACTTGACTTAGATATACAGGGTTGTGTGTTGAGGCTATAGCGTTGCCCGCAGTCGATTGATTACATAGACCATAGTGGAGTCTACATTATCGAACACGGGGACGCCGGAGCGCTTTGCAAGATCTGTGAGGTAAGTGCGTCCACGGTTGTAGTCCTTTATTGCAATTTCGCTGTACTGAAAATAAATAGTCAAGAATGAAGTCAACTAATTTTTAGAAATATCACTAAGAAAAACCGTAAATGACAATACCTAATATGCATTATATGCATGTTTATTATATACTGGCTGCACACACGATTTCGTCCGCGTGGAATTTAACTTTATTAAATACACAGACACTCCAATTTTATTTATATGTATAGATTACTGAACTATGTATAAATCATTGTATAAATTTTGTTTAATTATTACAATTTTTTATAGAATAGAGGGGCAATCGAGCTTACAGCACAATTGATTTACCATTTGATTAACCAAAATATAGATAAATTGCACTCACATTGGTAGCCTTGGCCGGGTCCATAGGCTGCACCAGCAACACGGTGGCAGAAGGCCGTAAACCCATATAGTGCGCCGCCAATACCATCGCAGGGAAACACGGCGCCTCCGCGCTCATAGCAAACACCAACACTCGTGACCCGAGCAACAAGTCCTCATCGTAGGTACCTACAGGAAGATAAAACTGTAATTATGTAGATCAACCCTATTTCTAATAAATTAGAACTAATTTTACAAATTATGAGAATGTGAATCTATTTAAAAAAAAAAAAGCCTACTCTAAAATTTGACACTTACTAAACAAATGGCAAAGTATCGTATGAGATATACTACAACAGCAACATCTAGTATTTTTTCATGCGATGCAGTAGTGATCGACATCTATACTTGCCACCTATATGTATGATACTTGTACGTATAATACCTTTATGTGATATTTAAACAGACAGTACTATAATGAAATCTGCTCTACACACTTTAAGAGAAACAGCTAAATTTTTTCGGACTAATTTAATGTTGTTGGCCGCAGCTGGCTTTTACAGCTTCACCGGATGATAAACTGACCTTTAAACGGCTGCGGTGTTTTATCTTCTGTGACTGTGTAGAAGTCGGAAGCACTAAGGCGGGCCCCTATGTCGTCGGAGGTGGATTTGTTGCGCAGCTCGACGGTTTCGCGGAGCGGTGATGAGGGTGCGGGGGGCGTAGTGGGTGTGGCGGCAGGGGAGGGGCGCGGCTTCTTGTCCCGGCGGGGAGACTCCGGGTGCGCAGGCGCCGACCTCCGCGCCGGCGCAGAGAACATGCGCGTGTAGTCGTTCACACGAGGTATTACATATGTGAACCCCTCTTTACGTAACACTGCTTCGGGCCGCGTATTTGTCTGTGAAAAGAACAGAATTTGTATAAGACAGAAGCAAAAGTACTTTTAGAGGACTCGTCTAAATACCGATCCTCTTGATGCCGGGCATATTGAATAAGGGCTTTTATGGCTATGGAGACAGAGGGAACCGATAAGATTAGAAGTAATATACATATATAGTTTAATTCCTGGTGCATTTGCTAAATTCGATACCCTGACTTAAGTCACAAGAATGATAGATTCTTCACCCAGCCTGCCACCGTATAGCGGATGCACCACATATTCATCCATACAAAAAAAAACGACGAGAAACAAAAACGGCGCCATGTTGTTGATATTCTCAGAACCTGATCTAGATAATGAAATACCTTTTGTACAATTGTTATGACTTAATATACATAAAATTAATTAATAGATTTGTTATCGTAATGTTAACATATCTTTTTAAATTTTCTTTATAGTTTCCCAAAACGTTCTATATATATATACTTGGAATTGACATGAACAGGTGGATGTACCACTAAATGGTAATGGTAACCATCGCCTTTAAGTATATGAACAACACTACGGACATCACAAAATACATATGACTCCTGACTGAATTTTAAGGTTTTGCAAAAATATTACAATACAATTTCAAATTCAAAAATTCTAATTCTTTATTTAGTTAACAAATTTTTACTAAGTTCTATATAGGCTCTTAAGCATAAAAATGCCTGTGCCAGGTGGATCCTATAGCTTCTATAGTATTTTTTAAAACTAATTCTTAAACACTTATTGTTATTGTATTATATTTTCTTTATTTATATAATTATACAATTTGACAATATTTTGTTTACTTTGGATAGTAATAAGTATTCATAATATTAATTTGTGTCCCTTAGGATAATACGAGTATTAATCGCATTTAAGAAAGCACAAAGAGTATTTAAATTGCATTAACTAGCGAGGATGATATGATTGAGCAACATTTACATCGTAAAATTACATAAATTATAAGTTACCGTTCTAGTTTTATGGTACGTTAGTGTATAACACTAGTACAACTATATACAACATTATATATGCAAATTATAATCTGTAGCTACAATCATAATATAATATGTACTTATTATAATTTCATAGATAATAAACCTATATAATATCTGTTTTAATATTTGTATATATCTATTATTTATAGTTATTTCACAGTATTATCCTATTTTATACCCGATGGTCACAAACAAGTGCCTATGTATACTGCGCATCTGATAGGAAACTGTTATCGTAACCCATGGACGCCTGAAACGTCCTTATTAACTTTTGATACAGATACGTATTCCAAATGTTTACACTTTAGACGTAAAACTTCTGAAGTACTTTATAGTGAACACGATACAATACATAAATATACCTAAAACCGCATATCCACCTACATAGTACGAATGAGATCATCATCGCAAATTAATATTCAAGCTATCGACACTTTATCATTCGTCACACGATTTACGCGAGGTATGAGAAAATCGATATAATTAGTGAAGTGTGAACTGTTCACGATTTAGCTACAGCGTGATGTTTTGCTCAATTATAATTATACACACGCAATTAATATACGAGTACATTTTATATTTGCATGGAAGATATTATGTTGTTGAATTTTATTACAAGTTGCGTCTTTATTACTTCTATGGGTAAATTGTTTAAACAACATGTATGCGACATGTGACGAATGAACAATAAGGTAACGAAGGCTAAATAGGTTGAAGATGTATTGTACTAATGGTTATATGGTAGACGTGTAAACATTACTTATTATGTGTAAACCAAATACTTATATAAAAATCGAGGACTCTGACGGATCGACTTTAGTGAATTATCGTTGTTATTCGTTACTGCGGCTAACGTTTAGCCGAGTCGTAACAGGGATATAAAAACGTAATTAGAATGACTCAAAATTCCATGACTTGGTTTATGTTCGGTCGACGTGACCTTTGTATCACTTTATTGTCACAGTGTGCTTATAATCGTATGAGTACATCTACTATAATCTGACAGCGACTTAATAATATTTCTTTTTAAAACATCAAAGGAACCTGCGGTTCACCTGATGGCAAGTAAGCACTCACAACACCAGAGGATTTGCAAGTGCGTTGCTAGGTTTTTCGGAATAAACTCTTTACTTAAAGATTTTAACATCGTATCCTCTCACAAAGGAGAAAATAGGGTTTATTTTAAAGAATGTGTAATTATACAATTTATAATAAATATGTTTTAACGTTAAGGAAGTTATTAAAATAAAGCTTTAAACGAAAACAGATGGAATTTTCCAAACGTCTCATGATATTGTCCTTAATTATTATATTTCGGCCTGCTTCGTTGATAATTATAATGTTAAAAATGTATAGATTATAAGAAAACTTGCAAAATAATATAGTTGGGTTATAGACATACTGTTTTTTATAGGAATCTCTTTAACATTATGAGAGTAATCATAATTAGAGAGTATCTACTAGAAATGTGATAGATCGCTAAGAATCTAGATAATGTTGCGGCATCATCTTATAGCAGAACCTTAAAGGTATACGTCATTCAACTTACAGGGAAGCCGCCGCCGAGGTACACGTCGTGGGTGGGTGCTCCAAGCATCGCGGGCAACCGCTCGAGCCGCCGCTCCGTGCCCGGCGTGAACACAGAGTCGCCGCTCGACCCTGAAGCTACATTCTCTTCCATACTTCTGCTACCGCCATTCTATAAACAACAACATACCACATTTCCATCATATTGTTATTCTACAGTTTATTCTATCATCAACTCTGAGATATTAGTTGAGATGAAAATTTATTGAATGTGGTCAAAGTATAGTAACATTGTTAAACAATTGTTAACAATGACATATTGAAAATGTAATAGGTATTATTTACCTTAGGAATGAACAACCCCAGTTTGCGCCCGTAAGCTTTGAGCCTGGCATTATTGATCATTTGTAGACCGTTGGTTTCCCGCGCGCTCTCGGTCCGTTCGGGTGCGGCTGCCGCCCCCGGAATCACCTCGTACTCACTGCGGCTCTGATTACCTGCAGACAACAACATTCACTACACTGTCAATACGGTTACAAAAATAAATATGAATTTATTATAACGATCCACTAAATTAAAAGGCATTCATATAGCAATTCAATAAAAATTACAAATGCAGTAAAAATAAAAGTATGTAGCCTATATACGAGTATGAAGGTGACCAATAATTATTTATTATATATAGAAAAAAAAAGCCACGAAAATAACGACCCATCTATTCAAAGTACATGGAACAATTGATGAGAAAAAGCTATGTGAAGTTAGACACTGTGGAACGGCAACGAGAAGCGAGCAATGGTGATTAGCAACGGCGCCGTAACACATGATGGCGATGGACGGACAAAGAATGATGACAGTGCGTGAACGCACCAGGCGTGGGCGGACTGAGACGGTCGCGCAGCGCGCGAAGCACGCGGCGGACCCTCGCCGCCATGCCGCCGCCTCCGCCACCACCCTCCGCCACCCGCGCCGCCCCCTCCGACGCCGACGCGGGCCCTTCAACAAACACCACCCTTACCGGCTACCCGACACCGTGTTAGCACTACACCGAACCAGGCCATCCGATTAAATCTCAATTAGGCTGTAATAATGTCCATCACTAATTTATATCGGTGCGACGACAATACAAAAGCACTTTGGCGTCAATGATCACATACATGTAACTTACCCGTTTCGGCGGCGGCCAGCTCAGCGACGGCTGCACAAAACATTTCAAAATCGACGGAGTCGGCGGCCGGAGGCAGGCAGCGATCCGCGACTTCGTGTTGGGCCCGCGTCATTTCCTTCAAAGCTTCGACGGCTTTCGTGCGCGATAATCGGCAGTTCCTGCCGCCGGCTGCGTCGTACACGCGCTTCAGTCGTAGGATGGTGTGTCCTAAGGAGTGGCGAGGGTGTGTTCGTGCACCGCGGAGCACCGTCCGGGCGCATCGCAGTGCCGAGGGAATGTCCGTGAAAGCGGGCAACCCGCGCCGCTCCACTGCTTCTTGCAATGTCGCGCGCGCACGCGACAACTCGATGTACTCACTAGAAACAATCATAAATATTCAACGTTTATGATAAATTGTGAATCGCTTTAAATTTTCGCGCATGATGTCACCTACGCAAATACAGGTGCGGTCATGCAATGTTGTCTCTTTTATTGAATAGGATCGTTGCCGTAGTTGTCAAAATGCTACACGGTTAATTCTATTCAAGTAACATCATAAGTATTCACAAGTATAGAAATACAATGAAGGACAATAAATTTTCTGAATATAAAACAATTACGAATAATATCGTATGTAGTTACAAAATACCTTTTATACTCTTCCATAAAGCAACTACACCGTCATAAATTTATCAAAAGAATTCCATACCATGTGATTTAAAGAAATTTGTCCGTTATTATCAAATAGTAATTTATTTGTTCTTTACAGTACGTAAACGATCTATGAATTTAATAAGACAAATAAATAGGTAAACTAAGTAATGAAACCCTTCCTATTACGACATTTAAGAAAGATTGAGAAAAAGAGTCGTCGATAAGATGATGTTATACTCACAGTTCACTGATCATTTCATGTCCAATCTTCTGATTGCGCGTGTAGGGTCGCAGCACAAGTAAAAGGTCCCTTGGTGCGGCGGCCAGGTGCGCCGCCTCTACGCTAGCAGCCACTGCCCGTGTCTCACTGTCCAGGACGAAAAGAAACGCCCGCGCGGCCGCCTTCGCTCTGTGTTCCACTTCAATCAGCTCCGTCGACCAGTCGTCCACTTGCTATTTAATAAGTTTTATAAATTATATATAAACGTGATATTAAATTGATATTTCGCCTTAGTCCCTATTCGGGGTAAGTATAGGAACTTTCCCTTTCCTTTTATCGCTTTAAGAAGTTATCCAACTTAAGTAGTCTTTGACATATATTATAATAATATAAAAAATAATAATACAAAATAAAAGAGTGATTGGTAAAAATAAATTTCTGAATGAAAATATTATGTTTAAAGAAAAGCTATTGTCGTAATACGATGTTTACAAACAATTTTTATAATGAGCATAGAATGGTGGGGGTAGTAATTAAGCAATTACTGAAAAAGCACAAACAACGTATCTCTCATTGTTATCAATACAGATAGGTACAGATTAATATTATCATTCTCTTAGGCATTTATTAAAATTACATCTTATACTCATAATTAATTTATATGGAAGTCACATAACATTATGCGATAAAATGATTGTGTTATCAAAATCCTTCACAAAACGTGCCAAATATGACATATTATAAAGGATTCCTAATATTATTTGTAGACACGTTCAATTTTTAGTATTCTACTAACCAGACAGTCCTTATCAATAAATATCAGTAAATATGAAATCCAATGAAATAACTTACAGTGAAATTAGATAATATTAACAAATTGATTCATATAAAATTTCATAATTCTATATCTTTATACTTTTGCTGTATGGTCAAATGTTCAGTATAGATTGTATAAGTACAATTTTAAATATGTAATGATGACCAAATCTATTTTATTATTTCGCCTTCCAAACTAGCTAGAAGGAATGTTGTTATTAAAACCAGCCCAATATGAATATTAATGTATCAACCTACGCTATTATCTACAACAATATTTAATGGTTGTCAATCGCAAATTCACAATGCAATTTATACAGATATGTTTTACCACTTGTAATAAGTATAAAAATAACATATGTGCAAAAAAGAGCTTTGTATAGGTAGACCTGCATGAGAGTTTGCGACAAAGTTTGTCACAGCTAGCTAAAGAAATTTAGTGAGGACGCAGTTGGATATATCAGGAAAGACACCGGTAATCAATCAGAAAAAAATTCGAAAAACTGTAGTACATTTAACTCTTTTAAGCTTTTAAAATATACCCACAAAGGAGGTAATGAAGAAAGAAGCAGCCTATGACTAACAGACATCATTAATATCACTGACATATATTATTTAGGGGTGTGCTCAATATATAAAAAAAATTACTACCATTCAGATGGTATATATATAGTATATATACTCAGGTATACTTATACTATAATAGTTACAATAACTAATCTCTCACTCTCTTAATCTAGAGATGATTAAATGAATCGATTTGCATGGAGAAGGGAACAAAGGGAGGCCTATTTATTTATATATTGGCCTCATTGCAGTCAGTGTACCTTACCCTATCAACCCTCTCAACGAGGACCTCATCATAGTGAGCAAAGGTAAATCCTGATAAGTTCACCATAACGGTTAAGTAACCTATTTCATACCTTTCATATCCTTTTATCATTCACTAGTGCTCCGCCATCATATACCTTCATATCGTGCAGGATCACAATCACTCACAAAAACAGATTACACTTGGTCTTTAAGAATTTCACACGAAGGACATCGCAGAAATCATACCTATTATTTAGTAATATTACCGATATCTTGAATGAGATATAAAAAACAGATATTGACGATAAAACATTGAATACAATTTGTACTTATTTGCTTTGTTATGAAGTGCAAGATTTAATTAGCGGATGACGAGCTCGCTTGTTACACGACGAGTCGTAGATGTCATTGTTTGAATGCCTTGCATGTTACTACGAGTAACAATGCGCCGTTATGATGTACTAATGATTGACAGGTAAACACTCGTCCTACGCTGCACGTGGAAGCAATAAATGATGGAATTACTAGCACGCGTCTCTAGTGCAATTGCAAAAAAGCAGGTAATCTATTATAAACGCTTTGATAAAATGGCTGCACTAAAGAATTTATTATTATGTATTTCTTTACGTTTCCTTAACATAAACATTTTAATTTCGAATATATAAACCTTGAATATTTACTATTCAAAGTCTGATAAATCACTTTCACTAATTCTATTACGAGTATATTATTAAAACTGTAAGTAGTATTCAGTAGTAATTTGTATTCAGGCATACAGTCTTCAATTATTTCAATGTTATTATAATATTTTATGGGTTAAAAACTTCGAATATACATATGCTGGAAGCCGGTTTGGTTCGACAGTGTAGTCGTGGGTCGTAATCGTAAGTCATGGTATTCAAGTAGAAACATTCTGGGAAAAGAAACGACTGAAGACTCTGATTCAGATGGTCCGGAATGTAAGGATGGTATTTGGAATTCTCAACATTACTAATGTTAATTATTTTCTTAACCGAAAATAATTAACTACCTAAGTATAATGATTTAATGTGAGTTTCCTAAGAAAACCTATGTAATACAATAAGGAAGGAAGTCGGCATGATTCATTCGTAAAGTCAAAGTCCTTGTCCTTTTAAGAAGAAATTGTATCGCGGGTACAGTAAACGTAATTAAACTATCTATAGTAGCTGTATTATGTATCACTCACCGGATTGAAATATGTGATGCCCATGGTTTTCAGCATTGGAATAGCTATGTCTGATCTCCAAGTAGTAGGATTGCAGGACCCGCCCAGGAAGACCTCGCATGGCGGAGGTGACGCCTCGCTGCCTGCGCAAGATCACAAGTCAGTCAATGTTCTCAATTAAAACAATTTACATAATATAATTAATTACATACATAGAATTCTGACTTATGATAATGAAGATAATCTATTATTTATCGTTATAGTTATAACATTTGGATATGTTAACACATTAATCATTTTAATGGTTTTACGAAAACCTACATTTACATGTAATAAAATTATATATTGTTGGCTTTTAATTTCGTTATTGTTGCAGACATTTAATAGCTCGGTTCAACAAAGTCGTAATAATATGCAGATTCAAATAATACAAATTCAATAAATAAAAATAAATTTAAATATGATTGAATAAAAAAAACATTGTTTCAGTATTATAAAGCTCTAAAAGAAAAATTGTATATTTTAGTTGATTTAGATCCAATAAACCATATCTGATCATAGTGAAATAACGTGAAAAATAATAGAATATAAATTGCGATTAATGAGACAGAATTAAAAAAGATTGCGATAAATCGTAGAATCAACGTTTAACAAATATATATCGCTTCTGGATAATTTACAACTAGAGCTTCAATCTACATAATTTGTACATCGAATCTCGAGTCGAATCGAGGTACATGACAAATAGTTGACCCTATTCAAGAGGCAATCGAGGCACGCAAAAGAAGTACATTTAATTGTCAACAATTGTACTGCGGTTAAACACGCAACTGCGCGTGAGTTTAAACTGCCACTGCTTGGAAAGTAATTGAACTAGTCCACTGTGATGATCTGAACTCGGCTCTTAACTTGATGAAAATGGATGAAGTGTTAGAAATAGCTATAATGAGAGGAAGTTATTCATTCCAGTATAGCATATATATGATATGGCCATCGACAAGGTTGACATGAAAACAGTAGGTAAGTGCTACTAATAGTAATGACTAATGGCGTACCTTGGATTAGAAAGCATTACGGTAACCTACATGTAGGCGGTTCCGTTCGTTCAACCAGCGGTACTCATATGTAAATGATTGATGACTATCGATTGCGTGGGATGCAGTACTTCGAACTACTTGGACACCTACTTGTGGATTCATTATTGCCATACTTGGTCGTAGACAACATAAACATTAACGTATTATTTCTTAACGATTAAAAAATGATATAAATCACTTAGTATGTTAGACTAAAAAGCTGTTTTATTTTCATATACAGTATCTAAATATTAGATATAAACGCGCGGAAAATTGAAGCGAGAAAATAATTGTCACTCATTCATGTGGTGATCGTGGCCAACCAACACAAGAATCCAATTCGGGATTATCATTCAATGCCAAAACGAAAACGTAAACAGAGTGATTGGTCAACAAACGCACTGACAAAACGCTTCCTCCACCCAGGCGCGTAGTGCAAACCAAACAAAATGTCCCTGAGTAGATACAACTTTTACGTCAACTTTACAACAGTGTTTTTATTTGCTAAAGTCTAGATTCGTATGAGAGGCACAATTTTATTATTTAACATACGTTAGAAACACAGTGGGCGTAGAAAAATTTATGTTGCATTTATTTTAGACAGTTACACTTAAACATTAGCGGGATCATGCGAAGTTTTATTAAATAATGCACTTTGTGGATTGAAGATAAAATATTTACGAAGTTTTGAGACGCACAGGGCACTAGCATTGTGGTCGGCGGCATGGTTGGCGATATGTGATATCGAGGTGTTAACGTGCGTGCAGCCAGCGATCGCGGCTCTGCACGCTGTCCACGAGCGGACGTTCGACGGTCGACGGCCAACTGGCGCCCGCAGCACTCAACACTACACCCAAATACTAGTCGATTCCGCATTTTAATACATTCCGTTATTTCTATAGCAATCTAAATAACCCTATGGTATTCATTCTATGGCGAACACACCTGTGTTATTAATCATTAGATCCGTTTGAGGCAAGGAGCGATGTCATTACCATTAATGACGTTTCTGCCTTTTGTTTTTAAATATTGATGACCTTGGTGATCCAGCGCTTTAATATACTGCTTTAATTTCCAATGGTCGCTGGTTTAAAAAAGTACTTAAGTAGTCCCACAGTTCAAGCTCTATTTAGTTTGGTAATCTCTGAATGTGTGCGATGTGTGAGCCGTCCAGGGTTATTTCTTTTTATTATTCATTATACCTACCGATAACTTTATTTTAATGAAACAGGTGTGTCATTAACCTACATTCACAAATTCAGTATTAGATCAATGACCTAAATTAACAACACGATGTGTTTAGACGTTATTTGCTCATAAAAAATGTGCAATTTATTGTAATGTAGGTTATGGTTAGTACGTAGCTTTATGTGATGTACTTGAGCAGGAAGATAGAAGTAGGAAGGCATAAATATATTAGTATTGTTGCTTCCATAGCCTTACTAATAGCTTCGGTGAACTTTCTTGTCTGCATTCTTTATACGTACTCTATAATATATAGTAGTTGTATAACAATTGAACCCTTTTTATATCTTGCCACATGGTCAGGTGCATGGTCACAATCTCTAGACAACCAGTAGCATCTTTTAACAAATAAACCAACATCCAGCTGAACTTGGCCATTGTAAAAATACAACATTGAAAATACACATTTTAAATTATCTCTTATATGTTACTAATGAGAGCACTACTACGTCATTAATACTTTAAATCAATATCTTGAAATATTATAATTAATATCCAAATATAGAATACGAATGTCGTAAAATCTTAACTATCAAATTTTGAACACATGCCAGTTGTGCATTCATTATTCAAATCGCTAATTAAGAACCAGCAAATTCATATTCATCATTATTGTTTGATTAATAACACTCGTGAATCTTCCGGGAGATAAGGAAATCAAATGTGGGTTGTGACAATACTTAATCGTTCTTTGTGTTATGTACATATATGTAGCATGGTCTCTTTAACAGTGATGCCCGATTGGGGATTATTCGCCACAATTTGAGCGATTTAATTTTGAGCTATGGGGGAAAATGTAGAGTGACTACACGTGTTGGGAGATTTGTTGGATGAAAAATAAAGGTTAGGAACTCCGGGGGCTAATTAATATGTTCATTTTGGACTAAAACAAAACAAGATCAAAGTCCTTCAGGCTAAAATGAACAATAATTGTGAAACAGGCGGCCTAGAAACAAAGGTCATCAGTTTCACAAACTCATTGAAGTAATAAAAATAAGCTAGTGCTGTTGTATATCAAGCGACCTAAAAAGGGTTTTATAAGCGTTCTGATTATGGAGAGGTTTTTCTACTAAAACTGAATTATGAGGGATATTGAAAGAAATTTGGTAAGAATATCAGATAGTTATCTGGCAACACCGCTATACAATAATTTTGTTTGTTTGTACGACGCTCGACGGCCGAAATAGTACAACCGCGTGGCGCGACGCATCGCACCAGACACTTCCGTACTCCGTTTATAGTTTGTGCGGAAGAAGCTGAAAGGACACGTTTAGTATGTTTACATCTGCCTTATACGATTTTGCGGAATTAAAAACGGAACTGTGTATATTATTCTACTAAACTAGTAGGTATAATGTAAGTAGTGCCCAAAGCAGACTTCTCGTTCCTATTTATAAAAGTCAAAGTGTAAAGCTTATTTCACGGTAGAATGCTAACTAAACCTCATGACTTCGGCGCACTATGTTTTCGTGAGGATTATATTTTATATTAACAATTAATGATCAGATTTTCTCCCGGACTTCTTTAGCAGTTCTTTCTTCTTTAGTCTTTGAATATAAAGCAAAATATTTATAATTACGCAGTAAAAAAAACTCCAGTTTAATAAGGCCGTTTGTAACCTACAGGGTGTCCTGAGAGATACGTATATCTGTTAATGTACTTGACACCAACAACTATGAATCAAACTTTTAGAAAAAGACATGTAATTAATTCAGTTGAGGTACATTTGTTGTTTATCACGTTACGTCACATTTTAGAGTCTACTATAAAATTGGAATAAACATAAATACTGTCGGAACAATATTAATAATAATAAATAATCTTTACAGAGTTGTTATGTTTTTGTTTTCGCGTAGTTTTGAAATTATGGTTAAAATACCTAAGCTAATATTACTTTTTATCCTCGCCACTTCCCGTTACGTGCATTCGGCATACCTAATGTTGAGGTGTTATATAAAGAAAATAAACCTAATTAAAATATATTCGGTACATCGGGCGAGCCCGTCCAACATACACTTTATCAATTTTTTGTTGCCATCAGAAGTAGGTACTCGTTTTTTTTATACTACAGTATACTGTCTAAACTATATTATACCTATATAATAGCATGATACCTGTGTATGCATACTTCTACACCTATTATTACACGTTAGTCAGATTGCTCGGATGCGCCGCGAGATTGACGCAAATCCAAGGCATTAGAGCGAGTGCAAAATTCAAACGATCAACAACTTTGTATATAATATGACCGGTGTATGTATAGACGCTGTGCTGTAAGTAGGTAGTAGTAGAACAATTATTAAACGTTCGTATAATTAGTTATGATCATACGCCACCGTATTGTGTGAGTATGTCCGTAGTGTCGTGATTGTGAATCGTGACATACAACGTGATCATGAGTAAAGATATATATGACTCTTGCCAAAACAATACTAAAAAAAGTTGTTTCAATCAATAATAAAAAATCATAAATCTTAAAGGAAGTGTCTTATTGGTAATTCCACTAGTAATCAAAGTAACTCCCGTGCACCAAATCCATCCATATTAATATTATAAATGTTTAATATTAAGCATTCATATGTTTCTTTATTTTTAAGTCTAAACGGCTTATGGATCTTTATTAAAATTGGCGTGAAGATAGATTGCATCATGAGGACGGATAGGCTCTGTCGTATCCTAAAATAGCAGACGAAGTCGCCGGTAAAAGCTGGTTATAAATAAATTATATGTACAATAAGAATCGAAGAATTATTCTAAATTTTTAAATTGAATCGTATCTAAAACTCAGAAATGAAGGTGGGGCACAAAGCACTACGTCCAATAGTCGCAGACAAGGTGTGGGAGTCACACAGCGACACTGAACTAATACTACAATAAATACATAAACAAATTGTATATCAACCACCTCGTAGCCACAGGGACTACCGCTGTGTATTTCTGGATTGGTACCGTGCGGAAAGTTTAGTCATGATTTGTTTGATCACGGAACGCAGTCTCCGATCGGCCTTCCGCAGTACGAAATCAAAGAAACTTCACCTTTATATACAAAAGAGAAAACATAAGTTTAAAAGCATGCTGATTTTTACAAATGCGTTTCTTACCGTTGAAGTGTTTACAAAAGTTGTCTTTATCGCGGAGTTCTTTATCCACGGTCAACACTGGTGACTCTGGTTTTGTTGAATTCCTGCGAATGAAAACTGAAATTAAAACAAAACACGATAATATAAAATTGCATCTTATGCAGGTTAATGATATTTTCTAGATAGGTAATCTATTTAATTTATATATCTATTTACTTAAATTTCATCTTGCAGTGACAATAAGTACAAAGCCTAATTTTAGTCTGTATCAACATGTCCATAAAAGTGACGGAACAATTGTACTAATGATTTCTCATGTTCATTTCATCTTCATCTTTCATCTTGTGTATAACAGACCGTTTGCTGTTCCTAGTAACATATTAACAAAAAATGTAAGGATAATGATATTGTAAATTCATTTAGTTGGATATTTCAGTTTTCATGAAATCTCAGATACATTATCGTGATTCAGTGCATGACAAATATTTCATTGTATGGCATTCAAGGGTCAATGCACGCGTCAACGGCGGCGACTGCGGGAGCCCTCGCCTCGGTTCAAGATCGGATAAACGGACTGCTCATTTTAACATCATCAATAAAATTAAACTGAGCCATTTTAACTCGAGATATAGGTTCTACAAGGGTATTTGTATACTGTAAGAATTTAACTACTAACGACTTGTTTTTATTCTTATACCTACACGGAGTAATATATTAACCATGTTATTAGTTTTCAAAGAACATGAATCAGACATTTTATAAAAGGAAGTCCCTAAAACACGTCATGTCTATATTGTACCAATAAACTCGAGAAATTTTCAAATAGAAAGTATTATGTGAGTTTTTCGTAAGATATTATATATGTATTTAGATCGGCTTTATGAAGGTTTATGAGGTATGGATAACTGCCTAGTGTTCTATAGTTCTACGGAGAAGCAAATCATTATAAAATAATAATACTTCTTGATTTAAAGTGCATAAAATCGCATCGATCCCACAAACCGGAATGTCGCAAATGTCTAGATGTGAACTTGGGAAATGTGAGATACAAGCTTGGATGTTGTCTTAGGATACTGAAGCGAGCATTCTATTACATTTCAATATGAGTATGAACAATTGTGGTACAGTAACGTAACACTACTGTTGTCACTCCTGTAACTGTACTCTACTGTCTTACTTCACACTTTAACCGAAACAGATTTTACAAAGAAAGCTGCTTGGCAGATTAAATAGGTCTGCCTATTTACAGAGGTATCCACACAAACCACTACGAATACGTTACGAATTTTATTCTGGGTAAATTTTAACTCAACTCTCAATTTTCGGTAACAACTAACATAAACATCATCCATTCACAAACTGTCGCATAATAATTAAAGGTAAGCATAAGATTAATGTCTAAAATGTTAAGTAGAGGTAATCAATGGGTACACGATGATAAAGAATAATTTGTTCTTTGGACGTCTCGAACCGTGATTAATGTGTAAATATGTAATTCATGACATAATACGTCCTAAATAATTTAAATTGTCAACGATAGATTAAAAACTAAATACCTATTATTCTAATATAATCTAAACAAAATCCTCATATCAGATAAATATATCAATGGTATTATTGATGCGTACTTCGCATTAATTGAGTTTGGAGTCGTGCTTGTCAAGTAGACTTCCCCGTTAGGCAAAATTAAATATTGTGAAGTGTCCTACAATTAGTTGAATTAATCAGCATAATTGTTAATAGGATAATCGTCCTACTCGACGGACTGTACAATTCAAGGTCGTTCCACTACTGTGAGCTAATGAAGGCAATATCTAAGTATGTGTTTATATGTCCTGTAGTATGAACCCATTATGCTATATCCCTTAAAAGAGCAGTGCACTGGTATAAATAATGATAATAATAATCTAGAACAATATACACAGCGCCATCTAGTTCCAAGCAATGCAGAGCTTGTGTTTACGGTATTAGCCAAACGATAGAAATACTTAAATACACAATCTTTTAATATATACGGAATATATGTATGTATATAAATACACAGATCGTCGCAAACTCATTCACTCGCACTTGAAGGAGGAATCGAACTCGCGACCATCGGAAACAGGCGGTGTATAAAACTGCTAAACCACCGAGATCGTACGTACATTTAATTTCAAATGACCGGGCATATTGTAGCAATACACTAACTGATTTTTTACGACATTAATATTTTTTTTCTTATCATCGATATCATTGTTAACTGAAGTTCGATTTACAATTATTTTTTGTATGTGTATACCTATTCCCGAAATGGTCACATTATCAATAAGTCAGGATATGATAATGTGATCTCAAGGTAATTGAGGAAGATTTTCAAATATTATAAGCAGGTATTGTATGTTTGATCTTTTTAGTTATGTTATGAGTATTTGCATTTGGTAATTAATCTTGTGGTAACGATTAAAGTAGTATTGATTATGTATGTTATACTCACTGTCTAGCCTGTTTGGAACACCGGCGTAGCTCTGCAGCGAAGATACAGAACTCCCCAAATGTCAGCGTCAGGGATTTCCGCCTTGCACACTGTCTTGCACATACCAACATTTCGAACACTAAAACAATACAGATAAAATTTTCATAATCAATTGTCCGATGATAAAATATTTAATACTGACCACGAACAACATATTTTTTAATTAAATATTGAATTTAAAGCATTTATAACTAGCATATCAATCTAATATCCAGCAATCGTATTCATGAAAATAAATACTCATTCCACGGGAATGTTTTTATTTAGCCGACTTCACATTTAAACACCGAGTTCATTTTACATCGTATTCTGATAATACCAGTTTTAAATTTGTACTTAAACGAATTTGGGGGTGTGTAACTAGGTTCACAAATTCTACTCGTGAGTTTTGGATTGCAAATTTGTTTTCTTCATTGTCTGTTACTAAACGAATATAATATTTTGGCAGAATATTTTAATACACAGTTTAAAAAGATAACTGTTTTATCTCTCCATCACTATTTGTTGTCTTTATTATAGCAGCACAATTCATAATATTATTGTTTAAAGAAACAGATATATATGTAGACAACAATATGGAATAAACATGTTAAGAAATAGTATACAGTGTAATGTTACAGGCAATACATATTCATATTCAGGTATTTTAGACATTAACTTAGTATTGAATAGTATATTTTCATTATTTTTTAACTAATCCAAATGACTAATACCTAACCAGGTGTCAGGTTTATTTCTCGCAACTAATTGCTGACTATATAGATTATTTTTTACGACTGCGGTTAAATGGATAACAGAGTCAATTTAGAAACCGTTGTGGCTGCGAGCAATTCGCATTAATCTACCAGTTCACACAAGTACGCGGAATTGTACAGCAAGATGATAACGCGAAGGTAATCTCAGACTAGTTTAAAAAATAAGCAATCCAGAGACTACTTAGATGCATATATTTTTTACCGTAGTATTACGGTGAAGTATGGTTTTTTTAGACTAAAATAGACCAAAAAGGATATTGACAAATACAATCAAAGGGCTCACGTTTATGAACATGTCCGTAGTAATAACGTGATCATGAACTAACCGGTTATTGGTCATCGTTTCACAATGAGCAATAGGTGAGATCATTAGTCTACACGCACCACCTGGTGCAATAACAATCATTGCGGATATCTAACGGCAAAAACACGCGGAGAGACAATATGATATCTAATGCTGTAAAAATATTCAACACTATTAAAAATTTAACACGAACCCCTTTCGTCACCCCCTAGGACAGTGTGGAAAAACCAGACTACAAACATAGATCAAAATATGATTATATTAATACCTGGAGTGCTACCTCTTTATTCAATATCTATGTTTTTAATAGATTAACTACTTTAACGACAAATTTTCATGCAAATTGGTAACAGTTGTAAATATACAAATAGATAAATATGTATTTTCCCGTAATTCAGACTTGTTCGCGTCGTATGATTTCTTAAATACATAAGTAGTATAATCATTATGATATAAATATGACGCATAAGAGAAATAATAACTAAGGTTTGAGCTACAATTGAAATGACTTCATATTTCAAGTCTAACAACATTACTGGCGTCTTTATGTCTGGTATAAAAACATGAACAATGAAATAATACCGTTCCGCTATTCAGAGATTATTATGTAACGGGATGTTACCAACGTTTCTTTTTATTTTATTAAACAATTACTAGCCTTAAAAGAAAATTAGAAATCGCTAGCTAATGATTATGGCATAATTGTTTTCCAATAACTGTCACTATGTACTTACACACAATTATTTACCGAGCTTTAATTTGAAAACGTATTAGTAATATGTGTGTTATAGGCATACATTTGATGTTGACACGTCCTCAAATGTTCTGAACAATGTCATAAAGGACGTTTAATGAATCTTACTGGTTGTTAACTAAATGATCGGTGAGCGGAGTGCAACCGCGCGATTTATGGGCGATAAATAAGCCAAAGGGGCGTGAACCGTTGCATGTGCCCGTAAATTGTTTTACACTGACAACAAGCAATCGTCCAATAAAATAGCACTTTTGTGATACGATCGCCGCACGCGCTTGAAGGAAATCTATATTAAGATGTGGAAATCTACTATTATATTGTCTCACGCTAAAATAATATAGCTAACAATAGAGGGTTAATAGAGTAAAAATATTCTATTTAAGCTTAAACGGGCCACCTAGTGGAAAGTCGTAAACCTCACCTATTGACATACTTTATTGAATAACGTCGCTGACATCTCACACTTAATTTACATTTCTGCGCATACTCCGGCTTAGAACTCCTAAGATGCTATTAGGTAAGACATCGAGTGGATGAAACTTTTAAGGGGAAATTAGACAACGTATATATTAGTAGGTACTTATCATTAAAAATAAATACGACAATTATAAACAGCGAAGCTAACTATTCAGTCGAGCCACAAACAAATCTCTACCGGTAATAAAACATTAGGCAGGTATAGTTTCATATTGCTACTCATTTTTACAATAAAACTAAATATTTATTTCTCATTCCGGGGTGAATTTTGTGATACACCTTTCATTGTGTTGTAAAATATAATATAAAAATCCAGGACTATATAAACAGCGCCAAGATAAGCAGAGCTTGTGTTAGGTAGGCGTACTAAATACTATGGATAGAAATACTTAAACACATTTTTTTTGTAAATACATCAACAATATACGCGGAAAACACAACAGATATAAATACTTGGATGCATTTATATTGTTAAATAAATACCAGCCACACCCAAACCGATACAAACAATCATAATCATGAATACAAATGTTTGCATCGTGCGAGGAAACGAACTCACGAATAACGGAGGTAAGGCGTTGTGTTAAGCACCTAGATCACCGAGGCAGTCATAGAATTTATGGTATACAACCACCAGAGGTAATTGTTACCTATTATCATACGTGGTTTATTTTTTTATTTTTGATATATTATGTTTATCGATAAAAAATTGTGTAATATAATAAACACGCAAATAGTTTGGTTTTCATGAAAAAATATAACATTGTGTAATAGTAAAAAAAATATAATAGGATTTATAGTAGTAAATAATACAGTACCAAAAGTTAATATTAATACACTTCTAGATAAAATATTTTGAGATTTTTTTATATACAAAATTACAAAAATCATTACGCGCTGGCGAAGCCGCGAAGTAATTTTCGGAAACTAAGATTTACAAAAGATATGTATAAATAATTGGCACTGGTATTTGGTTTTGATGATATCAATTAGATAAAATTAATAGAACAGTATTCATTTTATCTAATTCATATCATCAAACTTAACGTTTACAGGTTTCTAAGTATTTACAAAAGCACTGCGCATTTTTACGTATACTGCTGTCAAATTAGTCATCTAATCATTAATGTAAGTAGATACTAGAAAAAAACCCTTTACTCAAGTCACTTAATAGATACAAAGATAAGGTAATCAGTACCTTGAATCAATCATAAATAAAATGTTATAGAGGTATGTCCTCGATTTTTATACTGACAGATAAAATAATAGAATGCGAAGAATGGTTACGTATGTGTAAAGTGGTATGCAATGATTGTGCCCAGTCGGTGTAATCAGTTCGCGACTTGCGGAACTAATGCTTGTAATTTTTAATGGCGTATTGATATTGGTACTATCTAATGATGAATATGACGTCATTGTGATATCCAACGTTGAATCAACAGCACTCTTTAAACTGTATCGAACGGATCCACTAACTACGAGTAACTAGCATGAAGGGTGATGTGATGACTTCATTCTTACAACTGCGTTTAACCTTGTTATACAATGATAATTTCAATATTCCAATTATTATGACAGATATGAGCGTCAGGGTGATAAGACTTTTACATATTGTAAAGCATTAAAAACGTCAAATATTTATTAATTTATTATATTTTTACTACAGGTCATTATAACATGCTCGGACATATTTAATAAATGCAGTATTACTAAAATTATTACGTTAAGAATCTATTTGAACCTAACTGATATACCACCTGTACGTACTACCAAAGCGAAAGGATAGTTTATTGAGTAATGTCATGAAGATAAAGTTATAAACTTTTATGCCGTTTAACTATCTACATAATCTTTCATTATACTACTTTAAAAACTAAACAAGCTATATAACACTTTTGATTTATTTTAATAATAGTTCTCACCAAACCGCCTTTTATATACCATCCTTTGATTTCGAACTTTTCCGCTGGACTCAAGAACCCCAACGGAATCATGGAAAGATTGCAAACTCAACCTCTTAACTCTAGCATGGCGCCTTGAGATATAACGCCCATATGGTATGTAGTGATTAAGAATTCAAACCAACCCTCTCATCCACTTACTTGTCTCCTGCGGCGATTTGGATCTCGTATGAATTTATCCAGATGATAAAAAACTTATAAAAATAACTTACTAAAATGTATTTCTCGCACTATTTTTTTTATTTTATATATCTCAATAATTAAACAAGTATCATTCTCGATTCGATCTCCTCTCCTATACCAAAGGGGATCGAAATCACGATGCCCTCAGACTACCATATAAAATAGGCAGTAATTTCATCCCACCAAATCCTTCCGCGAGAATCCTTGCACTCGCCCCCATTTTCATCCAGTACATGGGGTAACAGTTTGTAAAAAAAATCTCATGGAAAGTGGATACTTTTAGTGACACGTAAGTATCGATTCAAGTGTTTATTGCAACACATGTTGTTATATGTATTTTATACTGCAGATATTATTCACAATGTATGTTCAGTAAATAAGACCTCTGTATGAAATACAATGCCTACAGAATTATATTGATCCATATATGTAAATGTATATGAAGTTTTTGATTGGGACAACGAAGTGAAAACAAAGATGGTAGTCAGTTATCTTGGACTTGAAATTTTGCATCAAAATTGGTGATTTTAATGTAAGAAATATGAATTTGTTGGGTTATATAAATTATATTTATTGCATTTTAAATTTCCGTTTAAAATACAAGGAATGGAAAACAACCGAAATTACTGGCCTTTGTACACTTTGTTTAGATAAAATTCCTTTAAATGAAGTATTATGTAAGATAAATGTTAAAATCTATTTTTTTATACAGATAAAGCATAGATTCCTCTTGACAAATCGGTTAAATTGCCTTATATCATAATTTACTAATAATTATTACATATTGTTATATGTTATAAATAAACCCGGTGTAACCATGTCATAAATAATATGGTACATAAAATATTACGTATTATTAATATTGTGCTAATATTAGGCACAATATAAAACAGTAGGTAAAGACGTATGTTTGGTTTAGTCAGTCAGAATAACATTCACAATAACGTTCGTTATCGCAAGCTTACATCATGGTTCGATAAATTGTATGGGTATTGGTATGTACTTCAAATATTCTGTTATTCGCTGTTACACACTAAAGGACCTATAGATACCTATATTACAACAGTGAAATGACTACTCTCTATTACAAAATTAATTAATTAATAACAGGAGAGACTTACTCAACACAGTAGATAACTTCAGGGGAACAGGCACATCTAAATTCTTTATTTAAATTCACTTATGATGACAACACTGGGCGTATCTATATATTAAAGAATAGAATTAACTGGAATGTATAGATTTTTCTTCTATACCTAATATCATAAATGCAGTGACGGACGACAGCGACACTACTGCGCAGATTTTAGCTCTACCAGTATTAAGTAGTAATAACTTTCAGCCCTTTAGGTTTAAGCGTATTGTGCTTGCTAGATTAAATCGAATTATTTGATATATAAATCTTCACTCCTTATGCTTAACCAGTAGGTATTAACAACATGAAACTTCTTGTTCCATTTATACTCGTTATCCTAAATTACTTTTAATAAACCCTGAATATTTTGAAAATAATTTTGGGTCCGATAGTATATACGATATAGCCCGCCTAAGCTCTTACCATTCAGATTTGAGTATTTATCGGTTAATAAGGCCAGGCATATGGATAGATGGATGGCAGCAAGACACACCCCTGGTGTCGGGTGTGCATTGTCGATCCTGAAGAAACAAATAATTCTTATTACTTGGGTACGAAGCATGGCCTTTCTTATGTTTACATTCTATCAAAATAATTAACTTACGTACCTACTTATGCCTAAATTAATCTGAATAACTCTCCTTAACCTAAGTTATAAAACATGTTTTTCCAAGTCATTCCCGTGTGGTAACCCTGTTGTTTTATAATATAGGTAGATATGTATAAAGTTTCACTTTACCTTGTGTCTTAGTAGGATATAGTTCGATGACATTGAAGAGGTTTTGAACGCGGTCTGCGGACGCCGGCTGATCGGGGGGGCCCACGTGGCAACCCCAGGCATTCGCCAATTCCCTGCAAACAATTTAAGCATAATGTGAGGTTTTTTTATACATACAAAAGGACAACAAGTATTTATTTATTTAGCAACGTAGTGGTAAAACAAAAAAAGTATCATATAAAGATTTTAAACTTTCGTAATTTACTACCTAACCAAATACAGGGACAAAATTAAAACGTACAAATCAATTTTGAAATGTTCTGTTTTGAAAAACCTTACCGTTTTAAGGCGCAATAAGTAGACGTCCGCTTACTGCCTTTCGTTTCATTATTATAATAACAATAAATCATAACTTTATTGCTCGTTTATATACTATCATCAAGTAAATAAACCGAGATAAATACAAAATAATAGCTGTTAATGTAAACACTGCCTGAGAAAGGCGATCACTCGCTGACTAAATATGTTTAGTAACTGAAATAGAATGATAATGCAATCCTTTAAATATTGTTTTGATACAGGTAGATAGGTACAAACAAAATAGGTACCAACTAATCGGATGCGTATACGTAGCTCACAGCGTAACGCACTTGTTATTGTTCGGGTATATTCCAGTATAACTCTAGCAAGTTATACTAGAATATACCCAAACAATCTGACATTTATTTATTCTATACCTAAATGTATAATAGCAACCTGTTAAAAGAGAGCTTAATACCGCCTTAATCCGGTACTACGTTATTTTTATGTTCAACTTCTCCCTAAATTAATTAAAATAAAATCAATCATTTCTAAAGTAAGGTAAAACTATGAATAAACAATATATTAAAATACATAAATAAAAAATATCCTAATAAAAAGTAGATAAAGTCGTGATATCGTTAGTATTTTACAACTATATATCTTTCAAATTAAATACATCTTTATAAATTGCCTACAGAAGTAAGTTGAGATAACATATTAATTAAATCTTAGTTAAATTTCATCATACATAGGTACAGGGGTACACGAGTCATACGGTTTTATGGTGTACGTGGCCGTGGAAATGTAACAAACATCTGGATATTTCTATAACCGTTTGTCCATTCGTCACACAGACCTACTTTCACATTTATAAATCAGTAAAAAGAATGACATCACGTTAATATCACTTACGTCATCAATTATTACCACTTGGATTCTACGTTGAGCACGGTACCTAAGTATTAATTTTAACCAATACGTCACTTATGGGTTGGATGAAAGAACACTCTTACTATACAGTGCATAAAAGTTAACTCGTCTTTTCGCCTCACCAATCGTTTTCTCATGCCAACCGGTCTTATGTACATCGCAATATAAAAAATATATTAATTTCAAAATAAATTTCTCTTAATTTTTATGATTATTTTTTTACTAATTATTTCAACATACTATAGGAAAAAAAACACTGTTTTACTTTAGGTAACAATACCCTCTAAAATGTGGTCACAGATATGGGTACAATAATGTCTGAGCTAGTTACTCCTCATTCGTGCTTGCTTATCAGTTTATTATAACGCAACGCTATGAGAAAGCGGGTTGCCACATATTTCAGTAATGTGATATTACTGAAATATGTTGTTCAAAAGATAAATATACGACTACATCATTATTTAGGAGAACTTAAGTTTCTCTTTCTAATAAGAGTTTAATTCCACATGTTGGACAAAACAGTGTAAGTATAATATATTATTATAATTATGTATCTCCAATTTCATTCGAAAAAGAGCAGAGTTTCGTGTCAAATTTTCTACGTTCAACTACATTTCATGTCATATTTGACTATACTAAACTTAAATGAACAAAGATATTTTCATTTGACTTAGGTACACTGTACATAAAAAATATTTTTTTTTGTTTAGAAATCTATAACGATGTTTTTAATTTCGTGATATTACTTGTGTTCGTGTAAATTACAGAAGAACCTGTAACTTTATTCTATTACTGGAATGAGACTTATCTATAATATTTATGTATATATTATTACTGGAATCAGAGAACAGACTTATCTATTTAAGTATATATTTACTAAGTATTATTTCCTGAAATACACGCCACTGAAAAATAAACCTACCTAGACCTATAAACGAGTGATCTTTTAGACAGTTTTACCTTGTTCTTTCATCAATGAAACCATAAATATAAGGTAACGTCAATCATAAACTTATGTACTAATTTTCTCAAGCAAGCAACGCGTAAGTTCTGTAAGTGACTTGACCTTCATAAAGGGTGAAATAATCTATAATCAGCATAATGATGGCTACACGATTTATTTTGCTAGCAATGGAATTTGCACACTCGTGTATTTCCGGCGCTCGCCAGACTAAATACACATGAGTACAGACATAGTGTCGGATTACGTATCCTACCTGCCCACGTCGTAAGTTCCCACGTGAAACTATACCACTACTACCGTTCTTCTTATCTCTTGTACGAAAGCAACGAGTCACTATATTAATATCCGCACCTACATTTCTATAGAAAGTGTGTCGTAATCTATATAAATAAAAATCAATTACCTCATAATATAAAACGATTACGCGAAGAATTCGAGAAAGATTATTATTGAGAACAGTACCACAAATTTAAACTTTTTTATTTAATTCAAATAACAAAGAAACTAATACTCTACCTGATGGTAAACGGTAACTGTTGCCTATGAACAGCGCATGTTTTCCTGTGACGCCTGTGATACCACTCAAGCGATGTCATCCCGGAGGATAAAGATGTCATGCTAATATCCTATAATTTCACTGCCTCATCTCACTACTCAAACGAAACACACTCTTCGAAGCATGTAGCTCGGCGGCTGAAATAGGTGAGACTGAGGTGAAATATACGCAGACTACTTTTTGCAAAGTCTACCATCAGAATATTTAAAATAATATTTTAGAATAACTTTACTTAATATGTACCTGGATCCTTTTTTGTAATGTTCGTAATTGTCAGGGTTTTGGACGATAATTTTGTATCAAAATATCTACAAAAGTAGTAACCTACAATGTAACAGTTTCACAGACTCAATACAATAATAGTACGTTATAAACAATACTATAATAATAGCAAAAACTTAGAGAACTTTCTGCAAAAAATACTATGATCATAAAATTATATACAACAATGGAATGTAACATTACTATGTCAATCAACCAAAGGGATGTGACGCCTGCTCATAGAAGTAATATCATTATGTGCGTAGAGAGCAATTTAATTATATTAAATATAGTTTCATAGTTAAGATAGTCTAAGTCCATGATCAAAACCTAATTAATAACCGTCAGCTAAGTAAATATTGAAATGAGCACAATGGTTTTACAGTATAATTCGTATAAACACACTTTTTTTTTATTGACACTCCCATATGTAGATTTTGACAAAGAAACAATACAATAAAAAAACAGTTTGTTGTAGGTGTAAAATCATAAGTGCCTTATTTATGCCTATTTATGTAAATTATTCATGAATAAATCATTAACTAATTATGTTTTGAGTATTTGATCAGACATATATCAAGCAATTTTTACACAAATTATTATTTGAGATAAAGTCAGAAATTATGACTTACCTATATAAATTCCCTATTAATATGGAACCCTCGTTACAATCACATATGTGTCTAGAGACTTTGCCGTAGGTCGCAAATTTTAAAACACAACAATAGCACATTATAATAAGAACAATTCTCGTTTTTATATTCATTCCTGTGTAATGCGTGTAACAGGAAATAAGTGTTGTTTATGAACTCAGTAGTAAAGTTGTGGGAGGGAGTTCGATGATTCGGTTAGCGGTCACAGTTAGTAATCGAGTGGCAATATGACGATGACATAAGTAAATAGAAACACTAGCAATTCTCGATCCAGAGCTCTTGACCTCAAAGATAACTAAACGAGGCACCGGCGGGCGAATAGTGCGATTGAATAGTGATATCACCGAAATAAAAGTAAATACTTTGCGAAACAAAAACCTTGTTCTGTTAGAGTGAACTTCGTGGAAAAACGTTTGTTAATATAAAATCATTCAATAGTAGTAAATATTGAATATTAAGATATTATAAAATTGTTTTAAATAACAGAATTATAGAACGTAGTAGCAAAAACATAATTCTTCGGAAATCATAAAAATTTTTTTACTGTACTTGTATAAGTAGAAGAATGATTAATTACACTCTGCATTTAAAATTATTATAAAGTTAGAAATGAACATGGATAGAATAAATTACTGTAGATAATATATAATACCTTTGTGATTTAACGGTGTACACACTACATCGTTGTATCTTACGAGTAGTTGCGGATTCGACGCCAACACAAACACTTGTATTCATATAGAAATCCATATCAATACAAACACCATTATAGTACCTATGTATATAATCAACGTTTATGCACAACATTTATGTGAGTTTTCTATACACTATGTGTATAGAAAACTCACATAAATGTCACCGAAATGCTATTGACTTTGGGATTTTAGTATAGTGCAGTGGAAGATGAGATATATCATAATTATTACTATATATAATACTTAACAATATTAAAGTATTAATAAAAACAAACATAATCTATGTAATATTATATGTAAATACAGTTAGAAAAATATTGATTATTTATTTGTACATATAAGAAACAGTAACGTTTTTTTTAATTGAACCTACGTATGTACTAAGTACTTTGATCTTTCGTAAGTAGTTATAATAGGAAATCAAATTGTTTATTAGCTTCGTACACTGTTATCATTATGTTTATATTACGTATCTTGGCTGTTATTATTTAAATATTCATAACTATTCCTTTTTCTTTAACTTACATAGGCAAGCGCTTTACGTATGCTGTAATAACAATTACTGAGAATATATGTGGATATATGAGTGATATGAAGTTATATTTATTTTCACCGGATACATCTATCCTAAAGAGTTTATTTGTTCATCAAGGATCGTAACTTACTAAGAAGGATACACTTACCTATCATTACATTTTTTGTTTTTACATTTCAGAACTGTTCCAGATTTGAAATTCAGTTTTATTCCTACATTTATTTATTAAAATAATAA